CGAAAGTCGGATAGAAATGGACTCGCTAATCCGCGCGTAGGAAAGGAAAATGACGCGTCGAATGTGTGCCATTGGTCGATCCAGATGCGTCCGTTTCCTCCGTGAATTCTCTTTAGGGTAAATACACCAATGAATATATATTCAAACAGGTTTCTGTAACTATTAACGTTTGAATTTTAAATGATAATAAGATTAATAAACTGCGGATGTTTATGCATTTATAGCATCTCTTAACTTGGAAAATGCAATAAAGTAAAGGTTTAATTATAGCTTGACACTAGTTATGTGTTATTATTAACGGAGTAAAGTCCTTAATACAAAATTTACGATTCTGCATCATTTTAATTTTTAGATACTAGTATATGAAATTGTAAATTTGAATGAAAATCCGCAGTCTAAGTATTAATAAATATTTAGCACATGAAAAGTAGATTTTTTAATATCTATACCTTTTTAGGTTCATTCATCGTTCATTCTTCAATTCGAGCACAATTTCTCCCGTATAAAAGTAGAAATTCAAACAACGCGTTCTCAATCCGCCAATACAAACTCAGTCGGTCGTTGTTTTCCAGAAGTTCTCCTGCAGAAATAATCGCGAGCCTCGGGAGATATTCCACGTGGATTTCAATTAGCCCGAAAACAATCAGTCGTTCTTCGCGAGGATGCATTCAGCAGGCGTCTTTTCATCGTCGCAACGGCCAGCTGGGTCCTCGGAAAAAAAAAATTCTTTTCAACCAGACCTCGTTGCCCAAAATCCCACATTCTTTCTCGTCCATTCGTGGAACAGAGAACTGACGATCACGAAACGGTGTAGTTGAATCGACAGCGGTGTTTAAGGTAACGGCACACCACGGTGACTTTCCATTAAGCCCGCAGCAACGACTGGGGTGTACGCGTTATGGGGATCGCGACGAAATTTTGTCACGAAAGAGTATCTTCGCCCCAGTCGTCGATTTGCACGATATTTCCTGGGATATCAGGATTATACAGGGTGTAACAAAAATGTTTGAGGACCCATAAATAGGAGACTGGTGAGATGATTTGAAACAAATTTTTCCTTAGCAAAAATATTATCCGAGACTTTGTTAACGAGATATTAACAAAAAACCCCGAGTTCCCGCGGTAGCGTTGGCTACCAATCGCAGCGCGAAATAACAGTTTGAAACGGTTATTTTCGGAACCGTTTCAAACCCTGCTTAAACTATCGGTTAATATGGACAGGAGCGTACACTAGAAGAGGGGTTGAAACCAGGGATTTCTACCGGTATTGTATCTATATACGCCCTACCCTTATAGAAACCGAAAAAATACCGGTATCAATATCACACCGATTTAAATCTCTGGGTGAAACGAACGTAATAATTCTGGAAAGAGCGGAGTATCGCGGAGTACGTACGGGGGCACAAAGAGGCGCAGGGAAAACGCGGAATCGATCTGTCCCACCTTCGTAATACCGGCAACCCTCTCATGCATAATCATGAGAATGTATGACATACGTATGCCCTGGTTTTCCTGGCCTCCTCCTACCCCTCTCAGCCCGCCCACAACCCCCTCTCAACGCCGAAAGGATCGTTAGCACGAAGTAATGCCGGCGAAGGATATCCGTTCCGAAAAGGTCAAGAGTCCACGCGAGGTCGCGGTGTTTCGCGGTTGATTCTTTCATTGTACCGCCCGTCACTTTACTCTTTTACCCGAAAAAAAAAACCCGTTCGAAAAAGAAGAAAGAAGAAAAAAAAGAATAGAGAAAAGTGGTTCGAGGAGCCTCCCTGGAGAGTATCCCCGCTTTTACCTTTCAAATCCACCCCGTTGGAGGGCTTTGATGCTCGATCGCTAATGGAACGCTTATTCGAACTTCTGTAATACTCTGGCGAAAGTGTACCGTGGTTTCTCTTATTCTCGCGACACGACGAAAATGTATATACTATATTGATTCATCCTCAGTTCGTCGTAGAACTGAAGTTCTCCAGTTCCGTAGGATCAAATATGCAGCTCCTCTTTTACACACGCTATCAGAACTACCGTGTCTGAACGAAACCTCTGTATGAACAGTTTAGTTAGGAGAGGAGCTTTCAAGTAATCGGAGAATATCTCGTCGGAGGATCGAAGCAAATATTAGGAATACACAGGGCTATCGTGTTTCTGAACCTCGCTAACGTAGAAATTCGATCGAACGAACGCGCCTTTGTTGCTCGATAACCGATGAAATCTCGCGATTACCATCCCTCTCTGTCCTGCTGCTGAAATTCCGCATCGTGTACTCGATTTCCGTAACGCAATAAGGACATCGGTATTATTATTATTATGCTGATTGCTTGTACCGTTCCCGGTGGCATTTAAATGCAAATGAAAAAAAAAAAAAATCGAGAAAAACGTCACGAGCAAAAAGGAAGGACGTGTTTCGCTGATTTCGGTGCATCCCGCGTGGTTCTGACCTCGATTCACCTTCACGGACCGTTATCGATTACACCTGGAACGCATCAGGACCAGTGAGTTTCGGTCGTTTTTTTTTATATCGCCCAGGCAATTGCCGCCGCGATACACGACCGATAAATTGCGCGCAGGAAACGGGATGAGCACGGAAAACACACGGGTACGATAACCCCCGGTTCGACCTCGAGTGGACTCTTGACCCGGTTCGCTGGTACGTTTAATTCGTAGTAACGTGTTGTCGCCGTTGATCAAACCGTCGTCCCCGTGTCCTATCGATCCGTACCGTGGGTTTAATTGGCGTCGTTGATCGGCGCCCTGAAAGCGCTAGGACAATAGGGAGGGGGGAGGAATCGTCGAAACCCCCAGCTATCAGTCTCTGTTTCTACGGAACCGGCTGCTGGATATCTGGGTCAGACGCGGGCAAAAGTAATACACCGGCTGAGTATCGGAGCTCTTCTCTCGCTCGATCCTCAGGCCTTCCCTCAGTACCTTTCACCACCTTCATAAGCTTAATCCTGAAACTTTCGGACACGAAAGGTCCTCCGAGAAAGTTACCCCTTTGCCGACTCGCTGTTACCATCCTTCGAATTATTCTTTTCAACTTTGGATCACTCGAGATGAATACCGAGGCTAGATTGAATTTTCCTATTGTTGAATAAAATAAAAACACCTGAACCGAAAACAATTTAGTTCCGTCGGAAGAATAAACTTCGTTGCAGGCAATACCTCACCCAAAACATTTCAACCCAGTGAATTCGCCGGTGACCTCTCTCTCTCTCTCTCTGGGCGCTTTCCATCTCGCTCGACTAATAATTGAAATTAATTACATTTCGTTAGCAGGCACAATCCCCCTATTGTTCGCCACGGAAAACTGATTAATGGCCGTGTCCGCGTGGGCGTAACCCCATCCCCTTTTGTTGTCATCCAAACAACGTGGCAGCGACGCGGTTTTAAAAATGCAGGCCGCACACCTCCTGCGTCCGCGAGCTCGATCGTTTCGGATAATGTTAATCCTGGCGTTCAGCAAAACCGTGCACGTAGCGCGCGCAAATATCAATGGGCTGTGGCTCTCGTTGTTCGATCGGGTCGTCGACGAACTGGGAACAAAGCGCATCGTTTCATTGTTCCTCCCCCTCCTCCATCTTCGATGACAGTCGCTGTATTTATTTCGCAACGTTTTTCTTTCTTCAGTTTTCGCGTTTAGTTGTCTCGGTGCTTCCCTGAACAGTGTTCGGATAGTCGAGAAAACGCGCAATCACGATCGTACGAGAAATTCTGTGAAAATTGTGCTTTTTTGCGGGGCTAAAGATGACCTCGTGCGACGTCCGAGCGATGCGACGGTGAACCGAAAGAGAGAATATGCTTCGTAGTCGATAAAAAGAAAAGAAAGAACGAACGTTTGACGACGAGCCACAGTGACAAACGGAGGGAATTATGCCGGACAAAAATCGAGCCTGTCGGGATGGACAACGCGACAAAGATCTGTTCGCCGACGAGATATCGTCCATCGGCATGTCGCTACGGCCCAGCGGTAGCGCGTCTTCCGGTAAGTACACTACCCCATTAAGGGGTTCTCTTTATTGTGACGGGTAAAAAAATTTACATTTTCCCAAGGTTTAACCCTTTCCACTCCGTGTCATTTTTATTATGAGCAACCAGCTAATCCAGGACTATTAAATTTTAACACACAATTATACATGCAATGTAACAGTAGGCCCCTATGGAAAAGTGAAGAATATTTTAATTTTTAAATGTATAAAAATACAAAGTTGCTTCTACATAGTTTTCACCGCTGCCGGCGACATCGGAGTGCAAAGAGTTAATATTTCAAAACCATAATCCCGAAAAGATTTCGTCCGATTCGAAGTAATAAGGAAGTTATTAGTCCCGGATTCTCAAATGATAAAAATTATGCTTATCCTATTAGTGTATACGAATTGATAGAAAAAAGTTGAACTTCGCCTAATTTTTTACTCGTCACAATAGGGAGACCCCTTAACTCCTCCTACGTCTCGATAAGTCCTGACGTGCTCTTTCTGCCGCACGGTCGGCTCGAAAGGCGGAAATTCTCCGAGAAGCAGCTGGAACCGATCATTCCTTCCTTAAGAACGAAAGGGAACCAGGTGTATCTCGTAACTCGTGTTAATAGTCGACACTAAAGGGAATATAATGAAGTCGTAAATTCTAACTTCTAACCGTCTGAACGGTCGAAGTATCCTTCGATTTATGACTGTACCGAGTTTATGACTTTGCTGCCTCTGCTGTCATCGATTCGACCAGCGCTGCACAACTCGTTGCCCGTTTGAGGCGAGCATTCAGCGTGCCTGAGCAAAGACTGGGCATATATTGGGAAACGGTTTTTTTGTCAGATGAACATCGGCCTCCTTCGTCGCACTAAGATGTACGTTAGTGCCTCCCCGAGTTATAGTGACTTTATCTGTGATCAGTTGGTGTGCTTTGTGATAATCTTGAAAGTACAAGCCGTTAAATTTGTCCTTTTCTATGCCTTTTTTTATTATTATTTATTAAACGAGCCATAAACTCAAGAGAACGAAAACCACAGATTATTCTCAGGCTGACTTAGCTTCCCGCAGATACAAAAATAGTTTCGCGATCACGTTTCCATTTGTGTACGTTCGTTGGTTCTGAGCCTCGTTGGCGACGCAGTCCGTCAGACGATTCCTAGCTTCCTGGCATTCCCCGGAGACGAACAAAGGGTACGATTCCGCGGTGGATAGACCGGTGCGTAGCTGATTGAACAGACTCAGAATGACGCATTCCTTGATCAGGATCTCGGATTCGGCGACCTCCGGGTTGTCGATGGCGCAGAGCCAAAGCAGCTTATCCAACCAGGTCTCTTTCTCGCTCTGTTCGGTCTTGTAACTCACTCCGTGGTCCCGCATCCACAATGTTAGCTGCAGTTTCGAAGATCGATACGACAAAAGGTTACTCGAGACGCAACGTGGTCTCTATCGTGATTAATATAGGGTGTCCCAAAATAACTTCGACTCCCGGAAATGAGGGGTTCCTGGAGTGATTTGAAACAACTTTTTCCTTAACGAAAATGTAATCCGAGGCTTTGTTAACGAGATATTAATGAAAAACCGTGACCAATCAGAGCGCGAGTCCGAGTTCCCGTTACGCGCTGCGACTGGTAGCCAACGTTTCCGCGGGAACTCGGCCGGCGCTCTGATTGGTCACGGTTTTTCGTTAATATCTCGTTAACAAAGCCACGGATTACATTTTCGCTAAGGAAAAAGTTGTTTCAAATCACCTCAGGAACCTCTCATTTTCGGGAGTCGAAACTATTTTTGAACACCCTGTACAACTCCAAAGAGTCCCGAATCGAGGGGTTCGGCTTCTTTTCTTACCTGTCCGCGACACTTGAAGGTGAATGGATTCCCGGAGAAGTAGACCTTGTCGATACCCCCGGGTAATCCTTTGTAGTCGAAGCATGTCAGACGATTCTCCCTGATGTCGAGACGCTTCAGCAGCAGCATCCTCGAGAATATCGTGGATTCGAGTCTGGTGATATGATTGTAGGACAGGTCCAGTTGCTCCAGGTACACCGTGTCCTTGAACCACTCCTCCTTCACATTGGAAATATTGTTGTTCGGTAGACTAAGCTTCTTCAGGCTCGACAACCCGTCGAATGCTCCCATGTGGATGTCACGGAACTGACACTTGTGGATATTCAGGGATTGCAGACTCCTTGAATACTTGACGAACGCTCGTTCCGGAATGTACCGTAGATTCGAGTTGAAAATCATTATCGCGGAAATGTCCGACGGTGTTTCGTTCAGTACCGTGTCCAACGTGGTGTTCAGGCATTGTACACGTTCACCTGATTTCATATCAATAGAAGAATATCTTGTATTTGTGTGAAAATCAAATCTGCTGGGTTTATGCGTGAAAAAATGACAAATTCACTCGAAATTACACAACCATAAATTGTAATCTGAAACAAGAACTTCACGAGAACATTATATTATATCGTTATTTTATCCATTCTTCGTTGGTACGAGGTAACAGTTCACCAAAAATTTTCAAACAAAATATCATAGACGGCTCAAAAACGGAGGACCATTATCCATGTGTGCACATCCCCAAATAGACGGTATATTCAACAACAGAAACAATTTGTTCGAGGAGGACATTTAGAAAATGTATCGAGTGTGGTCGACCTAAGAAAACAACAGTTACACAAGACAGGCCTTGATTATTTAATCTAACATCGGTAGTATTTTTAATTCAAATAATACAGAAAACATATCTATGCAATCGTAGGACGCGTGTTCGCCTAACTTCGAACGCACTGAAAGAATGTACCTCACCTCCGTCGTGTTTGCCCATTGTGCATACCGCGAGCACGGCACCGATGCACTTGAAAATGCACAGGAGAACCGGTAACGACGTAGAACGCATTCTGAGTGGCCGTGCGCTTCTCTCGACGGTTTCACAAACGACGACGCAATGAAAAAGCGGACACAGAGAACCGTCCGCCGCGTGTGTCGGAGATTTATCTGAAACACGCTTCCCGTTTTCAACGAAAGATACGACGCGTCCGCTGTCTGCTAAATCCTTCCATCGTTAATTAGAAAAATGATAATGAAATTCGTGTTCGTCCTGAACGCCGAGAATTACGTTTCGAATGTAGTCGACGGATTTCACGTCTCTAATCAAAGTTTGTCGCTTGCTAGAAAAATGGTACGCAACACGTGGGGTGTTGCAAGGATTCGTAAATGAACATTGGAAATTTCCAGGCATCTCGACCCTTGCGAGCTGCGGGGAAGTGGACGCATTGCCGGAACTTCCGGCGCAAGACGAGGAACGGTTGCAACGAGCCGCTCGACTGCTGCAACAGAGACTCGTCTTACGGCAATGGTTGCAGGATCATGGACTGCACAGCTATTACCAAAAGTGAGCAACAAATTGCCTTCGAATCCGATACCATTCGAATTTTATGAATCTGTATTTTTTGTCTATGTTCGAAAATTGTAGGTTACTATTTTATGTGAACGTCAATTTCTATTTCGTTCCAACCAAAGAAGGAAACAAAAGCGTAATTATACTGCCGGGTAGTAAAATTAATAAGAATGGAGACAAGTTATACGATTCGTTCCGTAGAGACTGTTTATTGACCGTGGCAGCCAGCGAGCAGCCGTCGATGAAAGGAACGAGGGTAGAGATCCGTCTTTGTTTTCACAGACTGATGCAGATGGAAGTGATGTCTCTGGAGGACGTGTACTGGGTTGAGGATAATGCTGCTCGGGCAGCGCTTGGCAAGGATCTGCCGCGGTGGATTCAGGCCAGACAAACGTTGCCCACCTCGAAGGAGGATTTAGAGACGCTCAAGGCTGATCTGTGGAGCGCCGTTGTAAAGAACAGCCAACACCAGGACGCGTGGACATGGGGTAATGTTTCTTGTCGGGTACAATTGTACCGTCGATTAATAATTGCGTTAAATAAAGGGGGCAACGTCAGCCAGATGACGTGTGTCTATTCCGCGGAATAGCTATAGAAATGATTTCCTATTCAACAAACTCTATCAGGTGGAATGCTGGTGGTTTCCGTGTCAGTGGCAGGGTTAGTGACCCTGGCTGCTATGACACAGCCAGCGCTAGCGCCAGAAGCGAAGCATTCCCTTTTGCAATATGTGACCGGAAAGTATCTGCTACCGAGCAACTGTCGTGTTCATTTCGAGTGGGATGAGCCGCAGCTTGTCGGCGAGACGATGACGTTTACGGTCAAGGTACGATTTCCACACGATTATGCGAGAATTCAACGACAGAAGCATTGGAAAAAGAAAATTCCTGTGTTTCTTCTTCTTCTGTTCTACTTTAAATGTACATACTTTTGTCGATAGTTCTATCAACGCAATGGTCAGCCGTATCCAATCTGCGACAAGGACAACCTGATAGTCGAAGTCACAGAAGGTTCACGGAGGGTAGCTACCCTGATAGAGTTGGGAGGCACCGATCCGCTAGCAGCTAACACAGCAGTAGTGAAGTTTACGGTCCGACACGCGGGACAATATCGGATAGCTGTACTGATAGGATCCTGTCACGTTCACGGCAGCCCGTTTCTTAAGAATTTCCTACCTGGTATGCGTTCACAAAATACCATATCTCTAATTCCGAAACGAGAACACGAGTAGGCACGGTTCTGTCTGATCTGCTAGGTCCTCCGGACCCAAACAAGACCATCTTCGTTCGACAAAGCTCCACGGTGGTTTGTACAGCTGGAATTGCGCACAGTATGACGATAGAGCCGCGTGACGAGTACGACAATCTGTGTTTATTCAGGCCCGGGGACAAGCCCACGGAAGGTTATGAAGTTAACATTACTCAGGCAAGGGGTTGGATCGAAGAAAAACTTGTTACCAGGTCTAGTAATGAGTAACTTTGTACGCGAAGAGTATTATATCGGCATCATTTTTAGAAGGATTACTCATTGCTCTGCTGTCCAGTAATTATCACTTTCGGTAACTTTGTGTTTTCGTTTCTACAGATCGGTAGCGTGGTAGACAAATCGATTGTGACAAACTGCGGCATACAGCTAGACTACGACTCCCCGAACCAGAGAATTCGTCTGAAAGTCAGTTTTCCAAAGGGTGGCTGTTACCACGCGACTGTTAGTCTATCCGGCCTACAACTGCACAACGGCGATTTCGACATCATTGTACTCGAGAGTACGAAACTAATCCTTCCCTCCTAAATATTTGTTTATTTATCTCCCTGTATCCTGGTGTATTGCGTTTTACCATGATGATTATCGTATCTGTTAATCACAGGTGATGTCGCGAGAATGGTGCATAGTAACGTGGCCTCGAAGGATCCCGATATTTGTTACGCGGCGAAATTGTTAGGCATGCAAGGTGAACGATTCTCGAAACCGAAAAAAGTGGTCTGCTTTATCTCGCCTAAACAGCTAACGATCAAAGAGTATTTACTGAGAATAATACCGAAAAGACTCGTTACTTTCAGGCTTTGCCCGTCAACCAAGGTAAGTACGAGAGAGCTTGCCGGAAACAAAGGAGCTCCAACTGCCTTCGTGTATATGGATCACGGTGCAATAACTCTGATACAATGTCTTTCAGTTCCATTTTGATTGTTCGAATAATCAGTACGATGGTTACGACTCTTTTTCTATCGATGATGGATGTCAACCGCCCGTTGAGTTAATTTCTCTCTATCGAGACATAATTGCCGCTACATTTACGTTGTTTCTGTTGAAAAACATAGGTGGAAGCGAAACATTCGCAGATAAGCAGGATTTTTTTTATCACGAGGTCCGAAAGCATCATCAGAAGCATTATCACGAAAAGCTTTCGATGAAAGTTCAACGGGATAAGCTGTTGGAATCGGTAAATTTCGAACCAAAATAAAAATAAACAATAATTAAATGCGCTAGATCCTTAATACTTAAGGTAATTTTTGTTCAAAGTCTATGAAAGCCAGCAAAGGATTTTCCGTGAGCGATTGGTGTAGGAATTTCGAAATCACCTTCCAAGGAGAACAAGGTATGTTTCCGTCTCAAAAAGATTTAATATTCAAACTCTTGAAGCAAGAAGAGCACTGCTGACCTATGCTTTCTGTATAAAGTCATCCACGGGCATACTAACAATTCTTTTATTACTTCGCTGGTACATTTCAATGCACCCACTCGTCACACCAGAACATCTATGCTCTTCAGACCATCTCCACTCTTTTCTCGCTTCAATAACACAGACCCAATTAGTAGAATTTGCACTTTGACAAATAATTGGAGCGACGAGATTGATATTTTCGCACCTAACATTAATAAATTTAGGTCTGAATTAAATTAAATTAAATTAAATTAAATTAAATTAAATTAAATTAACGTGTCACAAAAATTACACCTTTCCCATGATAAAAATAATATGTAATACTTTAGGCGTCGATTGGGGCGGAGTTAGACGAGAATGGTTCGAATTGATTTGCGCCGCGCTATTCGATCCTGGGAACGGATTGTTCGCGTGTTTCGGAGAATCACCACAGGCCTTAGTACATCCTAACAACAAACGGCCTCCACATCTCAAGTTGAAACATTACGAGTTCGCGGGTCGTATAGTGGGCAAATGCCTTTACGAGTCCGCCCTCGGGGGTTCCTATCGGCAACTAGTACGTGCAAGATTCACTAGATCCTTTCTTGCGCAGATCATAGGTCTCAGAGTGCATTATAAGGTAAGATCATCCCATCGATTTCCTATGCATCCAGCTTTTTCAAATCTCATAATTACTATAATTTAATAGTATTTCGAGCAAGATGACCCGGACCTCTACTTAAGCAAGATAAAGTATATTCTGGAGAACGACGTGGAAGAAATGGAACTGTATTTTGTCGAGGAGGAATACGACAAAGACGGTCAATTATTAAAGGTACGTCTAAACAACAATAATCACGTAATTCTATCCGGTCTAACGTCGCAAATTCGATTTTCCGTTGTAGGTAGCCGAGTTAATATCAGGAGGTAGCAAGGTTCGCGTAACCAACGAAACGAAATTACGTTACTTAGACGCACTGGCGCAGCACAGACTCGCCAGTTCTATAAGGAACGAAGTGGAGCACTTTCTGCGTGGCCTAAACGAACTCATTCCTGACAATCTCCTGGGAATCTTCGACGAGAACGAGCTCGAAGTATAAACAACATCGCACCCCATCCAATCTCTGAAAATATCCTCTTCCTCTGGCGTACTGAATTTTATGCTTCTCTGTTGTTGTAGCTGCTGCTGTGCGGAACCGGTGAATACAGCGTGGCAGATTTACGCGCCCACCATATAGCGAACGGAAGTTCCCCGGAGTTCCTTCGTGTTCTGGATTGGTTCTGGACTGCGGTCAGTAACTTCACGCAGGAGGAGATGGCCCGATTACTGCAGTTCACCACAGGCTGCTCTCAATTACCACCCGGTGGATTTCAACAGCTGAGTCCACGGTTTCAAATTACAGCTGCACCGACGTTCGCTAACTTGCCTACAGCACATACTTGGTGGGTTTGCGCGTTATCAAAAACACCAGATTTCACGATGAAAATATAATCGTTTACTATTTTCTTTTTTTACAGCTTCAATCAACTCTGCTTACCCGGCTACGAGTGTTACGATCACTTCGAAAGAGCTCTGCTGTTAGCGATCAGCGAAGGTACCGAGGGTTTTGGTATGATCTAAAGGAAGAGACCAAATGTCCAATCGTTTCTAGTCTTTCTCCCGTTACGATGGTATTAAAACATTATTTATTTTGTTTTATTTTTTTTTTTTGTTTATATTTAGTAACACGGTTTCAGCTGGAAACCGTGACTCTCTGTAGAGAACGATCGGGAACGATACTTTGTCGCACATTTTGATACACAAACGGATATCTTCGGAATGATCCTCTTTCCGTTCTGCCGGGAGACTTGTTAAAGAACAATCCAATCATTCGAAACATATTACGGCGATATATTGATATTTTTACTCGGGGTCGCGGTAACGTTTTTATAAAACGATGATAAGGGACGAGCAATTTTACCGAAACATCTGCATTGCTCAATTTATTGTATCGTGATTTGTCGTAGGTTTAACGTATTAGGAATTTTATTACATGTTAAAAAAAAAGAAAAGAGGGAATACAACGCCGAAGCAAGTGAGATTCGAATAGTTTACTGAACACGCGGCGAAACAAAAATCCGAACAGGTTTCTTTTTGTAACTGCCGAGATAAGGATAATAATTCACTGTACAGTCCCAGAGAATTGTTCGATCATCGCGTTTGGAACGGACACCGAAAGCCAAGGGAGTATAGCGTATCTCGAGGATGTACCCTCATTCCTTCATATCATCGTCATATTTTTCAGTTCTATACAGTATTCGGGAAATAAAAAGAAAGTTACTCGTACAACGTTGTCAGAACCAAAGGCGAGGAACGATAAGGTTAGGCTTTTCCGTAGATGCAATATCGTTCGAAAGATTTGTTAATTAGTGCGTACAAATAGAACGAACATCCATGTATACTTCCGACTTGACAAGCACCGTGTTGTTTCTTTCCCTTTATTCTTTCTTTAATAGTAGCGAGTCTAACTAACGTTCGAAATAAAGGATACCTTAGATCGACTAGCAGGAATTACATGCTACACCAGACGATGTGCTCGAACACGAAACGATTTTGTGATAACGAACGAACGAATCTTCCATTGAAACTTCGTACCCCTGGTCTACGATCGGTAAGAGGCGTCTCGCGACTACGACGAAGAAGAATCAATTTTATCTTGTACTTAAGTACACAATAATGAGAATTGTGATCAGACACGTCATATTTGTGTCACTCTTGTGTGGGTTACTTAGGATTTAACCGATCTTTTCGTGGCGTGGTTTGAAAAAAATAATATACCGTGAGCATCGCAGCTCTGTTACACGCTACACGTTCGTTTTATTTTGTTTTGTTTTTTTCATCAATACTGTGCAACACGTAGATGTTACGTAAAACGGCGCTCGACAACGATCGCATGTATATACATACTTACCGGTTATGTAAATGCATTTTGTTGTTGCTTTGCAATGAGAAATGAATCGGTCCGATAGATTATCCAGTGTACAACGATGCTGACGGTACCTTATTTTAATTACTTTATCATGTTACACGAGAAAAAAAAAGTGTAAAATATAGATTCAAAAAAGGCACACGATATCGATATTTATTTATCCAAAGAGTCTCTCCGATTCATCAATTACATGTTCCCTTAAGGAGTATAAAGTCTTTTGATATTAGAAAATAGACGAAGTAAAAAAAAAAAAGAAAAAGTATCCCAATGTCCACGATAGAAAAAAAATGCCCGTAAAATTGTTACTGTAAAGAGACCAGTGATCCATTTTGGAACTTTTCCTTGTTTACAACCGTGCCTGATTCCTTGCCTCCTCGACGGGTGTCCACCGCTTGGAACAGCTACCGTCGTCAATCTTGAAGTTCCACTTCTCAGGACGTTCCGTTTCAAAGAAAACTTCGGAACATGGCGCAGTCAAATGCTCCAATAAATGCACCTAAATTAATATCAGCGATCTGTCATAAAGAGATTGTTTAGTAGCTCGCAGCGACAATCCCTACAAATGGTAAGAACTTCCAATTCTTGGTATCAATTCTAACTTATATGACTTATCAACGTATCGTGCTAAGCTAAATTGTTAGGTTACATATTCCGTGGTAATAAGCTTATCGTATTTTAGATGTTAAACTATTCAAAGGTTAGGCTACCTTTAAGAGGTTAACACCGGCCCCGTAGTGGATAACCAACTTCGAAGAATGGCGCCTGGCGCGCGAACAACACTACCTGCGATTTGCAACATTCTACTGCTCCAGCCCCCGTCCTGAGATTGTCGTATTAAACGCTCCTTTAGCTCATTCAATTCCAGGCTAGAAATTCGAAAGCGATTAGGGCAGTCATCCTCGTATACTTGCACCCCTATAATACTTCCTCTAATTTCTATATCTGGACCCCAGAGCGTCCACTTTAAAAAAAAATGAGATTTTAGTAGTTCGAAGATAGTGATTGTTTCTCGCTCAATTCTTATCGAACGGTTCCAAAGTTGCAAAGTCTTCGCACCTTTGATGTGCACTCCTCTAGAGTTTGAAAAGTGTGGGGTCCACATATAGGTTCTACTTTAAGCTACAACGTATAATTTCCAGCAATTACAACGTACACTTGTGAGTTACACGTGGACTCTACACGCCTCAAAGCAGCTTCACGGTCAGCCAGCTGAGCTTCCAAGAAAGCTACCCGCAAGTTTAGAGATTTACCCGTTTCCTCGCTCGTTCTAAAACGTTTCTCTAGTCTTACTTTCTCATCCTCCTTAGACTGCAGGCCCCTGTACACGTAACAGTTATATTAAGCGAATTGACGATCATTTGTGTCGCCAAGTTACTTGGTGTATCGTTGTATCTGTTGCTGCGAAGTCTCGAACATAGCCATTTGCGTGGCTAATTTCAATTGCAGCTCCTCCACGGCCGATTCCGCCTTCTCTGCCCTCGCTCCCCTTTCCGTGGCCAATGTTTCGCAGGCTGTTACCTACAGGAATTTATGCATAATTTCAAGTTCTCGGTACCAATGATACTTATCGAAGTAATTTCACGGAACAATCGATAAACAGTCGAGATAAACAACACGATTACTGCAACTAAGTTACTCTGCACGAACTCTGATATAATCTAGATAGAATCAAAAGAATAACAATGCTGCAATTTTTATCAGTTGTACTATGGTAATTGAAGATTAAATGGGTCAAGTAGTATCGATCCCTTTTCTAGGTACTGAAGGAGTATGTACTATGTAAGATTGAGTCACCGATGGCACAGAAGGGTCGTGTGATTCAACGGTGCACTATATCTTTCGGCACGTCGATTAACCAAGGTATAAATCTTCGAAATTTTGAAGACGTTCCTGAGCTCAAGTGTTAATGCGCATGAACGGGTTCAAGTCTCTCAAAGAGAGTTCTTTGAACTCGGAAGGACAGAAGGATGACTAATTCTTTCATAGAAGACGGTAGGAATTCGCATCGAACAGAGTGTTCACCCTCTCTGCGGTCTTATCTACTGCGAACCCAACAATGAGTCATCCGGTAAAATCAATTTTTGCCCCGCTATGGAAGTGCGATAGAAAGCTCGCAAGCGACATACGATTCTATCTTATGTGCACAAAGTATAAGAGGGTTGAATGACTGAATATGTACAGAGAGTTGAAAAATTCCATGTACTGTCCTGAACAAACTTGGAAGCGTGAAAAGGAATGAAACTAAATAATGCGAGTAATCGGTTCGGTGAACTAGCCTTGTCAAGAAGCATTCTTTTGTCCTCTCGTAGCTTCAACAATTTCTCGCGGTCCCTCGAGATCTGCTCATCGAGCGCCTGAAGCTGGTTCCGTGCTGTGATCAGTTCGTTTTGCAAGTTCTCAGCCGTGACCAGCCTCTCCTCGGAGACCTCGTGCAACCGTCTCACCTCCTCCTCTATCTTCTCCTTTTCCTGCAACCGCAAAGTGCAACCCACGTCGTGAAAATACATTACTGCGTCTGTAAATCCCGGAAAGTATCTAGAACAGGATTCCCAGTTTTATCTATTTCGATCGACGTCGCCACGGTGCGATACAGTTCCTTCTTTCGCTTCACAATTAGCCGCTGGACCGGTGCCAGTTTCCCGCTCCCGTCCACCGTAGATAGTAATTAATCGCCACGACAATATTAGTATATCGGAGCGATCGTTAAAAAGGTGTTTCACTAGCAAGAGATTGTACTGTCGTCGAAAATATTCAAACTAACGGAAAAGAATAGATAATAGGTTATAAAAAGATTTTTGAACAATAAGATCCTTCATCGAAGAAGAAGAGACGGTGTTATTGAGAACCTCTTCCTACTGTACTTCACGGAATCTCGAAAATTCCATTCTTTCTGAAACCCCCGCCCGTTATCGAGCGACCCCGAAACGTGTGTCGCGAGCTCTGTGGCCAGCGTCATCCCTCTAGTTAGATACACGTCATTGAACTCTCGCGTTTGGAAGACGTTATAGACGCATATAGCTGACACTGGCTGTCCCACACAACTTCTCTCAATGAATTGCAACGTTGCACGGGAACGATGAACATGCGAACATTGTAACAGAAATTACTTGCACGGTGGTAATCAATTTACAAGCGATAATTAGTGAATCGAACATTCACATTATCGTCGGATTTATGGTAACGACAGGAATATTCTGAAAGGTATTGTACACGGCGTAACGGTAGTTCATTCCGCAAGATCAGGCAAACGATTGAGCCAATGAAGTCTCTACCAATAAGCAACCAATTATTTTTTTAAATAATATAAAACATATTTCTTTCAGTTTGTAAAAAGGACAAATGGTTCTTGGTGAACGAAAACAAATATTCTTTGAAAAAATGAGTATTAAATTTGACAAAATATGGTATGGATTGCTTATCCGTAGTCTTAATGAGTAATTGATAATTGTTCTACCCTGTAATTAACGTAGAAAAGATTACCCTTTTCTGAATATCTCTGTCCTTCGCCGTTTCGTCCAATAGTACTTTAAAATGATGAACCTCGCTGGTCAATCTACCAACGCGATTGTTCTCCGTTTCGATCAATCGACGCAATACGGAGATCTGCAGCTGCAGGTTCTTCGTGTTCTCTCTCAGCTTGTCGATGGTGTCTCGAAGATAGAGCACTTCGTCGCGCCTGCGCCTCCATGCGTTCAGCACAAGTACGCGACACACCAGGCTCGCTGCTTTTCTTGGATTTTGAAAGAATCGCGTGCCCCCTTCCGCGGACTCCGCCGACACGAATCCGTCCATCCAATTTTTGATACCGACGCTGAACCCAACGCCTTCGTTTCCCGTGTACATTTTCTCATTGTCCTCGAGCTTCTCCAAGGTCGAACTACTATCCGACCTAAATTAACCCAAACCATCGATATAAATGAAAGTTCAACTCTTGTAACGCTAAACCCCTTGCTAGAGGCTGTTAGGAAAAAAAACAAAAATCATTTAGGTTTGAAATTTTATCCACGTATTAGAGTAAATTGAAAAGCGCAGTGTGTTAATTGTGATTTACCTAAGGTCACCATTCTCGGCCTCCATCACGGATTCAGTGAGATCAATCATCGACAAGCTTTTCTTGCAAGATGACAAACCGATCGCGCGAAACATCGACGCGCATGTTAAACTGTCCGGACAGCTTTTCGCCGTGTTAATCGAACCCGTATAATTTATAGTGGTAAGTCCGGCCAATCTCAAGGAGGGTCTCCGAGGACGATAATACGGGCTGGACCTGTGACATCTTACGGGTAGTTGGGAATACGTTTGAAATTTACGTCGCACGCATCGTGGTAGCCTCTTTTCCACGGTGAAGTGGCTCGACACCTCCCGCGGGGTGGTCGAGGTGCTCAGGGAAGACAAACTTTTCGGTGAGATCGCTGTTTCTGGCATCGCTTGCGGCATTCTCGAGTAAACGCTCTTTACAAAAGCAATAAACGTTTGTTTGCCCTCGTCATGGAAACGGAGCGAGTTGCAGCAGCGCGACAAAAGTGCATCGCCTGCCTCTTTTCCGACAGCTTCCATTGCGAATGATACAGTTCGTCGCAAAACTCGAGAACGTGCGTTCTATTTACAATAAGACTTCATTATTTTTAGACGTGAATTTATCGTAGTAACACTCTATGCTATGTTATTATTTGCAACTTTGTTAATTTCTTGTTTTGTAGAACACCAGTTGCACCATTAATATTAATGGTTTATTCGTAACATAGAACAAATAGAGTTTTCTGTAATAATGGTTCCCCATTCAGTAATAAAATATATGTTGACATCGTTTACCATTGTGTGCTTTTCCAAACGCCATTTGTCGAATATGTGAGGTAATTCATCTTCCGGAAATTCCTCACATAAATACTCAGAATCTCAAGACAATGGCGCCAACTATCGCCGATGCGAAATCCAATTCGATTTACACGGTCGTTTTCAAATCGCACCATTTACTTTAGAACAAGCTGTATGCATATGTGCAACTACATGCATTTCCCGTCAACAACCTTGCGATTCTCGTTCGATAAGTTCAATTATTTCTAACGAGCCATACGAACTGTCGTGCAGCACATACATACACGCCTCGAACGTTCTGGTTCGTGGAATTGCATAAATCAAATACACCTACGACGATACGTGCGGGAAACGATTAGAACTTATGTAACATATAGATCTTATTCGCAGTGTAAACATAAAGCATTAACAGTCAACTTACATTCGCGTTGCGGTTTGTTAAAAACCACTGAACTTTGACCGTACTTATTTTATTAATAACCGACGAATACGTGTTCCGAAGGAAACGTACTTACTCAGGTTAGCAAGAAACAATCGAATAGATGAAAGCATTAACAATGCTGTAGATTCTTTCGCATTATTCGACTAAAAACAAATCGCATAATCTCAAGCAAATTTATGCTTACCTAACGCCCTACGATTTCGTATGATAAGACAGAGTAATGTAATGTGGTCATGTGAGTCATCGTATGCGGGAGCACCTAGTCACCAACAACTACCTACGTCCCTGAATTTTAATCTGCGCACGATAAATTCGGTGGACCTTAGACTTTATCAATGAATTTATTTTATCATCTAAACTATTTAGTGGCTGAGAAAAAAGAAATATTTGCTAATAATAAAAGACAGTTTACCTAAGTAGATTCATTTGTCAATGAACCTCGATCGTAAAGTCCAATACCTGATGCATTGAGGAAGCGGTATTCATAAGAATGGGCAACAATTTGTGGCACGAATTTCTCCTTAATTATGTTACAAAATATATTTGTAGACTGAAATACGCTTGAAGAATCCCGTTGTTACCAGGGTCCGCAATCACGCTAAACTCATTACCCCTCAGGTTTGTACGAACTGTCTAAACCTTGTTTTGGATCAATGTTTTCTCTACATTAATTCTTACTAGAAAAACAATTGCACCTGATTACCAATAACTTTTGGAGTGCTTAAACAAAATGATATACGTACAATATAATATATAGCCATTCCAATGCAATAGGTACCTATTTTCTTTTTATTCGACGACGAATAATGTTTTACTCGTTAGAAATCTGTCGTCTACACAATAAATGTTTCCATCTCAGACTGTTTGACCATAAAAACATAGATTCCGCGTGGCGAATGCGCGTATCCACGGAGCATGTATCGGTCTCAGCTTGTAACTGGTTGAAAGCGACGAAAGAGCATGCCAGTACCGATGCAAAGTTCGGGCGAAATGTTATGGTCGGGTTAAGTCTCGTTCCTAGTCACGGCCATGCACGCTTTTGTGTCGTGTGCGAATCGTCTGCGCAGCATTGATTGAAAATTTTTGTTGTATCCGGGATAGATTTCGCATTTATGCGATTATTCGACGCAGCAAAAGATTCGTATTTTAATCGTAGATCGTAAGAACTTTCTTCGTAAGAAAAAGAGTTTTCGGTGTTTGTTTCGCGTTTCAAGAAAGCACCGTACTATGTCGATCGAGCTGCAGGCAAGTCTTTCTCGTCACATTGTCCTACGATAGTTTAATTATAGCTGCACGGCTTGTACGGACCTAGGCTCTCCCAAAATAATGATTGGATCAGCGTGGTATCCCTCCTCACTCTCGTGCTCTTTCTCATTCTCTCTCTCTTTTGCTCCTTCGCCGTTTCTCTTCCCTTGGGACACTTGTGTTGCAGTGCTTCTGGAGTATACCTGTGAACAGCTGTCGCTTCGCTGGCTGGAAGTTCACCACATCGAACTTCTATCCATGCACATTCACCTCCACGCTCGATCCGCCACGCACCGGTGTGAATCCGAAAAGTTACGCCTGACTCGTTTTGCGTCAATCGTCGCCCCGTGTTGCGACACAAACACCTTTTCCACGAAGATGTTTGATACACCGCTTGAAATCCACATCTTCATCGAATGAATCGTTTCCCGAGGGCAATCTTTCACTCTACCCGATTCTTTCGTTTACTTTTTGGGTACGCTTACACGCTTTTTACCCATACCATTCTGATAAATCGCGCGCGAAACATTTTCACGCGAAGTAGCAGTTCTGTGAATCGCGTGTACTCGGTTTTCCTCGTTTGATAATGTCATAGAATGAAATTAAGTGTTTTCAGTTGTGTGTTGTTGCTAAATAGTTATTTACATGTTACACGATCGTCGAAAAATTCACTAAATAGACATGGTGAATGCGTTTTAAACAACTACTTGGAGTTTGTTTAACAAAATTGTGTATTAAAACAAGAATAATCTTTCAGATGGCTTCTGTTAAATGTATTAACCATTAAGAGGCATGGAACAATTCCATGGTATGAGTGATGGAAATATAAACATAAGTGATGTCAGTAAGTATTAACTATTGTTTTTGTTGTATTTTTATATAGATTGTTAGATGAAGTTTCATTGAATTTCTATGGATTTTGTGAATAGTTGAAGTCATCCAAACTACAGATCCTGGATTTGTGGAGTCTACTGAAAGGGAGGCTCTACCACCAGTGGAAATGAACACTGGTAGGGTATTGCCATATGTTGAGATAATAGAGCAGCCAGCTAGCAAAGCTTTACGCTTTCGCTATGAATGTGAAGGCAGATCTGCTGGTAGTATACCTGGTGTAAACAGTACACCAGAAAATAAAACATTTCCTAGTATAAGAGTGAGTACACTGAAATCTGTGCTATTCGTTCGTAGTAAGTTTATATAATCATAATTAATATACAATACAGATAATGGGATACAAAGGCCGTGCTGTAGTTGTAGTATCATGTGTAACAAAAGATCAACCGCATAGACCTCATCCTCACAATCTTGTTGGAAAGGAAGCATGTAAAAGAGGTGTTTGTACAGTAGAAGTTTCATCAGAGAATATGACGGTGACATTTGCAAATCTTGGTATTCAGTGTGTTAAGAAAAAAGACATTGAAGAGGCACTTAGAGTACGAGAAGAGATTCGTGTAGATCCTTTTCGAAGTAAGCTGCGAATGTAATTAACAAATAAAACAATGTGTTTAATATGAAAAAGAAAATAATATATGATTGTTTGACAGCTGGCTTCGAACATAAACGACAGCCTACTAGCATTGATCTAAATGCAGTGAGATTGTGTTTCCAAGTTTTCCTAGAAGGATCACAGAAAGGAAAGTTCAATTTACCATTACCACCGGTTGTATCTGATCCTATATTTGATAAAAGTAAGTTTTATCTACTACAATTCATACTAATTTCTGAAACAAATAGTTACACATCTAGTCTTTGAATATTTCAGAAGCAATGTCAGACCTTGTAATATGCAAGCTCAGTCATTGTAGTGCTTCAGTGGCTGGTGGTATGGAAATGATTTTATTATGTGAAAAAGTTGCAAAAGAAGATATACAAGTTAGATTTTTTGAAGAGAAGGATGGACAAATGGTTTGGGAAGGATTTGGTGATTTTCAGCCTACTCATGTACATAAACAAGTAAGTTTCACGCTTGTAAATTCATTCCTGTTAAATTCTTCACAAATGTTCTGTCTCTTTGATATATTAAGTGACAATTTCCTAAATATTGACAGACAGCAATCGCGTTCAGAACACCCACGTATCGTATACAACAAGTGGATCAACCTGTGCAAGTATACATTCAACTCAAGAGACCATCGGATGGCGCAACAAGTGAACCATTACCGTTTCAGATGTTGCCACTTGGTGCAGGTAGGCCTGCTTTCTGGTCATTACGGAAAGCATTTGCCCGAAAAAAAACCGATTATAGTACATTCGGTAAAATATTAGCCACCGAGTCTGCCTTACTTTCAAACGTTACACCAAAATTCCCGCGTAATATCGATGAATTTAATAATAATAATGACTTCGATATTAAAAAGTCGAATGATAAAATTTCTGCCTTGCGCGCTTTGAACGATTTGTATAACGTAAGGAATACATTAGACTCTTGCAACGGAAATACCGAAGTCAATCAACATACCGCACAAACTCTAGGCTTCGTAAACAATACTATAATAGATTATGAAAATAATGAGGTCCCGAAGCACTTGGAAAACAATCAAACGAACAGGGTGTACAAAATCGATGGTAATCATGTGGATAAAGAAACTGTCGATACCCATTCGGTAACTTTAGTTGGTACTAAATCTGATACTGTTACTGATAGCACAAATACGTTACAAAATTCCGAATCGTTTAAAAATAAATCCGACTGGTTCGATTACTCGGAAGTAGGAAAATGGGTACAGAAAGGTCAGATGTGTCTCAAAGAGAAGGATCACGATGTAGATTTTAAGACCGAGTCGATTGACGATTGCAATAAGTCGTTTAATGAATTATTAACTCAAGTGGCCGAACTAGATCAAATCTATGCCGACACACACGCAAAGTTGGTGCACGCGGCCCTTGAGCAGAACGTAGCCGATCAATCCATGGATATCGACGTTTGCGATAATCAGACGTATACTAGTCTACAAATGGCCATGAAGAATCCTGTAGAGTTTGTTGATTTATCGAATTTGAGGAAGTACGAAGACGTGGCGATACCAAAAGTAGACCTGAATCATTCTAGTCCTTCACCCCCAGTATCTACAAAGAGAGATGGAACGCGAGAAACGGAAGAGAGATTACCACCTTTACCCCCGAAACGTATCCGCAAAATGCCTTCCATGCCTCTTTTACCGCGTCCTATATCCTCTTACACATCTGAATCTTTCGTTGAAGCACCAAACAAAAACTTGCCTTCCTTACCTGGTACACTTACCAAGACCTCGAAACAAGGACTTTTTTCGAAATTATTTGCGAAGAAAATAAAAAAAGACAAGGACACTGTTTTAAACGTATCTAAGGACAGTAATCCTTCTTTGAACGCCTCGGGAAGCGTTACCTATTTAACTAAAAATAGTATACCGGACGCCTCACTGTTGCAGAGCCCAAGACCTAGCGCGATAAGTACCACTAGCGTTAAGTCACTAAGATTAGATGGTGATGAGACACCACCTTATGGAATGGAATTAACAGAGGCTGAACATTATGCATTATATACCGCTATGGCGCCGCATGCAACAGCGTCTGAATTTGACGAAATGTCTTTTTACTATAGCCCTGTAGAAGGAGGAAAGATATATTCAGAAAAGAAAGAAACCTAATTTGCTTTGGTAGTTGTAACGTTTGATAAAATACTTCCACTTGAGAGTGACATCTTTTTTGTCCCCAAATAATGTTGCATAAATACACTCATACATATATTTTCAAATATAGAATATACATATATATATATTGTGATTCGTTGAAGCTGCTAGTTTTGCAATTGTAATTTTTTACGAGTTGAAGTTTCGCAGCTTCAGCACGCTCGCATTCTTGCGATGCATTTGTGTACATGTTAAACACTTTTTATAACAAATTTTGAGAGAACACATTTTTTGTATCAAATATACGATGACATATTGTCGTGCTCTCTTCGTCAGACCGCAGTGAAACGATATTAACGCTATTCTAGTCGTGGTACAAATTGTTATATTTTTTCCGTAGTCTTTCATACAAATCTTAAAAGATGGCTGAAACATATACTCAGCTGAAACTTGTTGTTTATTGCTGAAGGACTTAGAGTCCTTTCTAGTCAAATTTTATGGTGTTGCTACCTATATTTCATTCTTGCTTTTTTCATGCTTTTTATTATTTATTACACGTTGTTAAGTTTTTTTATGGTGTTTCAAGTTTATATACATCACTTTGTCTCTAGTCTTAGAATAGGCATTTAATTTATAACTCAAAGGAATGATCGTTTGATTTGTTTGTGATTCATGAAGTATTTGAAACCGAAGGTATCGTTTTCTGCAGATAGTTACACATTAGGGTGGAAAGATTTTACAAGATTTATAAGACCTTTTGTCTTCAGAGAATATTAATCTACTGTTGATCAATCACGTGGTTAATGTACAATCATTTATAGATGATCCTGATTCGTTAAGGCGAAAGCGACAAAAGTTTAATAACAGTCCAAACGCGCTAGTTTTGAGGCATGTACAGGCAGAAGCTGAGAAGCGTGAGTATTTTTCTAAAATTGTCCTCAATTCTACAGCTTTGCCGGGGGTGGATTTAAGTGGCGTCATTATATATCATTGTCGCATCGTTAAAATTGATCAGAGTACAACTAGCTACGTTCAATGTGTAATTTCAGATTTTACAATTTTCTGTACATTAACTCACTTTCATATTGATACTTTGATACTTACTTGATTGAAAACGAAGAACAAATAGCAAGCTATCACAGTGATATCAGCAATGAATATCCTTTTGTGCATTTTAATACGGGCCCGTATGCCCCATTTGTTGTAATCATTGTTGTAACAAATATAGAGAATTTTGTTGGAAATTCCAGAAGTTTTGGAATACTTGTACATGTGGGAAATGTTGACGGTATTTTTATATGCTCCAAGTTTATATTTGTCAGAATATTAATGTTTCAGCGTTCTCAAATCACTTCATATACTAACCACAGAATTAATCTAATCATATCCTGTTGCACAGCGGAAATATTGGAGTTTTTAACGGTCGTCGTTGAATACTTTCTGGTTTCAGCCCCATCGAACAGTGCCTATCAATTATCTGAAAATGTTATATGGAAAAATCATTGAAAATTTTCCCTGTGCAAAGGAAGATATTTTCTCATAAATTAGAATCTTCATTATATTAAGAAATACTATATACATACATATATATATTTTCACACACCAACGAGGAATCTTGTTTTATACTTTTTTAAGAACATATTTTGTATAAACACTTGGAATTTGTGCTTGAATAGTTCGGAGAGCAGTGGCCTTGTACATTTTCAGAAGAAATTGTATTTTTGTAATTGCTACCAGTAAATAGGTAAATGAATGCCCATTGACACATGTTCAGCAAGCTATAACAAAAAATGGTTCGAAGTATACAAGTACTCTGCTCTCATACAACAGTGTTGTACTTAAGAACTCAGCAATAATACAATGATAGGAATGGAAACGATGTGCAATATTTGTATGGTAATACAGATTTTTATAAGCTGCTTCTTTAAGAGAAAAAAAAGCTATGTCTACACATTGTATAACTCACATATGCATAATATATCTATCTATATATATGTACAACCACTTTATGAAGCGTATACCGTGTTTTTTATTCCGCTCCCAAACAATTTCAGATAAAAGTAGTAATGTATGAGGCTCACAGGTACGACATGAGAATATTAGATTCGTTTGTTGATTTTTTGCTAATCATGTTGACCGTATTTTTTATTGCAATACATGACATACAATGTTTACAGCGTGTCGTTTAGAGTGAAAATATATAAAATTGCATGCATCATCTTCGTTACTAATCCTTCTATACTTTAACGCTTTGCTTTTCTTAACTTATTTGTGTTTTTATCTCTGTAGTCTTTCTGTTTCTTTCCTGGTTATTGTGTATGGAAGCTAACACTGTTTTACAATGTCTTACGTTACATAAATTCTAGTGGTAAGATATCTGAGGTAAATTGTGTTTTATTGCATTAACAAGTTAGAAGTTCGTATAATATTATAGAGTAAGTCGTCGATGAACCTGTTCATTTGTTTTATGATATTTTAGATGCTGGAATGTTGAATCCACAACCGATTCAATACAATTTTAACATTATTAAACCAGAACCAATAGACAGGATATCTCCATATGGTGGTCCAGTAACAAGTGGAGGATCCTTTCCACTCTATTCCATGGGGACAAATTCGCCACAGTCGACAATACAAACATTAAGGTAATACTGAGTGTAATTTAAGTATTTACAAAATAATGAATAAAATCGTACAAAGGTCATGTAATGTGAGCAAACTTCAATATGTTATACAGGCCTCAAGTATCTCCAGGTCGTACACCATCGCCTATGGAATATAATCCTTATAACTCGCATCTTATTCAACCGCAATTATCGCCTCAATATCAGCCAACAAGTAGTCATGTAGTACAGCAACAACCATCAGCTGTAACACGCATACAACATTTTCCATACGTACATGATACGTTACCAGGACAGCCACAAGAACAATTGATATTAAACAGAGTGACATCGAATTATCAGGAATTACAAGCGTTAGACAATGCTGGTACTATTAACAGTCCACGCATAATCTTTTGATGCACACATATTACTTGAAAATACCGATTCGCTCATTGCAATGAATTTAGCAGGTGGAGTAGGAGGAACAGATGTCACAAGCGTTTTAGACATGGACAGTCAACAGTATAGCTTCGACTTAAGTCTGAATCAACTTGATTCGGCAGAATTGGCTGCTTTTGGTACCGCTCTCTCCGAAAACTTATCCAGCGGATTGTCCATCTCGGATTCCAATAAGGTATGTCTCATATTGAATGCTTTACAGTTGTGAATTAAACAGTAAATAGTAATTAATATATATTATTATTAAATTTAGCCCGAAACGAGCAAAGGGATAAACCAAGAGGCGAGTACCGTAGGAGAAAGCAGTAATATGACGGACAGTTTTACGAGAATAACGAACAGTACCATTCAAGAACTCTGCACTTTAAACAGCATGTACAAACCAACACGGCAAATTGATTTTTGTATGATTTCTGAGATTCAATTTTATTAACATCACAAGTTAAAATATTTATCGATCTAATTAATATATATATATATATAAAATGCTGTGACTGTGATCAAAGTGTATTGAAATCTACACGTCTTGACGTGCATGCAAAGTGTCTCGATAAGTACCATGATTATATGCAATAAAAATGTATGATGAATAAAAAAAAGACATTGTGTATCGTGAAAGACAATCTGCATGCAGTATTCGTACAAAGTATGATTAGTTTGATAAAATGAACATCCCATGAATAAATGGTTTTCTTACACATTTTGTACACTTATACATATGTTCGACTTTTATTTTTTACACATTTATATTTGCTACAAATTTGTAAATATAGTTTTATATTAGTTTGTATAATTGAAGCACAAATGTTCTGCTCCCGTTTTATGTATACCCGGTTATAAAAATCTCCAATACACATTCCGTCCAGGCACGTTGATTCATCTTTAAATAAATTTCTGTCCAAAAACATAAAACATAAGTGTGTTATTTTGTAATTACATGGGAAAGGAATGTTATATTTCTCATCGTAGTTTCTTATGTACACAATATTCGCGGTCGTAGTATCCCAGTGCCAGTTATCAAACACGTTTTGAAGTCAATATAATTACACAGATTATTTCATAAATAAACATCTGATACAAATAAAATTATACCTAGGTACATACATTTAGTACATATAAAATTACATTTAAGAGTATATTATAATTGTACATACAATTACGGGTAAATAAATAGGACTATTAAATTTTAACAGTATTTTGTCAAAGGTATCACATATCATTGCGTACACCATGTTTTATTATTACTTTGTTCTTAACTATTTACACAATATTACCTCACACAATTCTTAATTCCTATACTTATATACAAGGTGAAGAAAAAACATTATTATTCTAAAGTATTCTATAAGAAATAAATTAACTATCCAAGTATTATAAAATATATTTATAGGGGAGAGACTCGTTCCTTCACAAACACGTGAAGAATAAAAAACCATTTGTGTTGTTTTCCAAAATGTATTTACTTAAAAATACAATGAAAATTCAATTCTGATGGAATGGGCAGAAATATAGTCTGTGGTGTTACTGTTACGTCGAAAGTGATGATGCGATGGTATCCTGTACAAAAGTAGTTTGAACAAGACTTATGAACACACAAACCAAATTCTTAGCCTAAGATTTCGTTTACGTTTAATCGTGACACGTTCCATTATCAGATTCATTAAGATCATTAAATTCATTTTTTTTAGTGCTTACCTAACAAACGTAGGGATGTAATGGTATCTGGGCGATCTGCCTGATTGATTGTAAGACCCGTTAGCACCAGTAAATAATTTTCAAAGTCACATCTAGCACTCGAGCGAAAAAGAGTGTTAGGTCTCTGGACTCGAGGTACATGACGCGAGTCATTCTTATTTCCTTTTTGGACTTGTTGCAAACGGGGCTTTGTATTGTATTAATAAAATTAAATGGACCTATACTTATAGTGTATGTATTGTATACTATGAACGCTAAAGTACTCATTTTTGCTCAGGCACCTGTACTTTAAGATAGTTCTTTGTCAACATGATCGTCAAGGTACTATCTTGAAGTGAACACGTGTAAATACAGCAGCGGATTGTGTATAAAACCGTCGAGTAACAGAGTTCTGGAGATGGTATGGTCCGTAAACAGTACAATGATTATTTACTTATTACGCCTCACACATAATATTTTTACGGTGTACATGCTGAATGATTTTGTAGCTCCTATCGTCATATTCGAGTAAAAATTTCGTTTTACGTGTAAACGGTTACATAGTCCATCCCATCTCCTTGGATTCAATGTAGCAGGATTCAGTCCACGAATAGCAGTTTTCTTTTTCTTTAATACTGCCATTTCTGTAAATTTATCGTCGGATGTTTAAACCCATCACTACTCACGAGAACGAATCATTTTCTCTGATCTAACTGCGTTTTATTTAACTATCTCATTCGAAAATATTTGTACATTAAAACGTGGGACATCGTCTCGCATTCAAATTATCGTTACCTTTATTTATTATGCAGCTATGGTACAATGGTATCGTAACCGCAATGTCTCTTCACCCTTCCTTGTCTACCAGTCTCCCGAAATAAGTGGTGGCATGGACATTCTATTTGCAATGATCCGCTGACTCTAGCACACAGAGTTTTTCATTCGTTGGTAACCACTGAATCGCAGATATTTATTGCAAAAAAAAAAAATGATTTTGTGACACTATTATTTATTCTATGGGCACCGTCATTAATAAGACACTGACCACCGTGCACCTACGGATACGTTCGTAATAAATACTGTCATTCGTTCGACAACAGTCAACGAATCATTGCCATAAACAATCCACGACAATAAAGTCAAAATAAAACCACAGTACGTAAAATACAAATGAATTGCGCTCAAATAAGAGCAATCGAATAGGGAGAGTGCTCATCGGTTACTTGGCATTGTCGTCAACGATTAATTTTTTTTTTTTTTGAAATGCGCTCTGTGACCCGTCTTAACCTTGACAAATACATCACTTATATAGACAAGAAATGGAATAGTTTCCTTGAAGAAATAAAATAAATCATTCTGCAACCTCGTAAAATAAAAGAATTCTCTCCCTACTCTATGCTCTAAGCTTAAAGTGTAACAACCTTTCCACATTACATTACGTTACATAATGTTATCGTTAATAATAAAATGTTTCTTACTCCATAACTTTATACATGCTATGTATAATTATTATGCAATGTTAAAGTCACACATTACTCATCCATACTACCTGGCGCGAGCCTTGCATTAACCTTAATTCCTGTTTTCAGATCAAGCAAGAGCACAAAGCAGAGTTTTGTAAGACTATTTAGAATCTTTTTCTTTTTTTAGTGTACATCGAATGTCGAGAGATGTCCTTGCGACTTTGTATGTATTTAGTTTTCCATTTTTGTTCATTTTATGCATCACTTGTTTCCATTTTGTTTGTTTTACTCTCTTTTCTTTGAACTGCTCGCGCTCCTGCAAAGTCATTGCAAATACACCTTATAGGTCGAGAAAAGGAAAATCAATCACGCGCACAAGGTGAGAGACATTCGTCGAACTACAAACGTAAATTTGATTTCAAATGTAAAAAAATCATCACCCACAAATGTTCATTTTACACTATTTAAATACAATAGAGCTTTTTATATCTTAAATAAGTTTCCGTTATAAAACTGTCCCGCGAAGAAAGCCAGATGACGGCAAATACCAGTTAGCAGGTGGTTTGGACAAAACAATAAATTCGCCTTCGGAAAACAGTACGATTGTACAGAACATGCGTGACTACGCACCAAGTACTTGAAATGATATTAATCGGAATCGACGTATTCGTAGGCTCCGTACGACGAATATATGGTTTTCATTCAAACTACCTAACAGCATTTGGTGATGGCTAGAAGACCAGAATTGCGAAGAGCCAAGACAGTAGAATTGCGGCTGCCTCTAATGCGTGTCAGCCCACCACAACTCCGGTGAGGTGGTAATATTTATTTCGTAGGTTGGGAGGTTCCAGCAATACGGTTTCGGGCACGATGAGTATCAACATTGCTACCAACCACTCAATATGAGAGTAAGTGTTTGCTGAGAAGATTGCCGAAGATCGACGACGACGCCATGTGCCTACCCTCCCTTCTTACTTACATACTTCCTTCCCTTTTTTCATTATGCGTCTTCCTCTTCGTCTTCTACTTCTTCTACTTCACCTTCTGCATCATCCTCCTCTTCGTCTATAAAAGAAGAGAAAAGGGTTCGAGCGAAAAATGTTTACCCAAGCGTAGAATATCGATTCACATACCATGAGAAACAATAACGTCACCATTAACATAGATTCTCAAGATTAGTGGGAAATTGATCACTAACCTTCGCCCTCTTCTAAATCTTCTTCGCCTTCTGGCATGTCATCATCTTCATCGTCTTCTTCGCCATCACCATCGAGTTCCTCTTCTTCTTCAACCTCCTCTTCAATTTCCTCCTCTTCTACTTCTCCATCACCGTTCTCCTCCTTCTTTTGTTTCTTCGTGTCGTCATTCTTCTCCTGTAACGTAAAGAAATTACAATTACAACTCTGTGCACGGAACTCTGAAAATAATATTCGCGTATCTACACTTTTAATAACGCAAACAAATAAAGGAATTAATCGGTTCTGTTTCAATATTCGATTGTGTATATTTTCAAACTAATGGTCGTGAAAAGAAATGGAGGAATTTCACGGATAAGGGAACCCCCGGCAATGACCGAAGGATAAAGAGGAGGGGAGAAAACGGATGAGTAGGATTCCCTTCCCGCCAAGAAACATAAGGACATGGTGGGAAAAGTAGAGGGGGACCTTCCGTTAAAACATGGCGAAACGGGAAAACAGAAGCAGCTATGGGAGAATTTATATCGGTTACAGAATATTACAGGTATAGAAAGAGTACTATTAAAATCTGTAAGCAATACAAAAAAATCACCGGTGAAACGTAATCAGTTAAAATAAGCATCGAACTGTTGCTAAAAAAAGAAAAGTTTCGTGTCTTCAGTGAACAATATTTAGCGTGAAACAGGCATAAATTTAAGAGTTTCATTATTTATTTATTCTTAAACTGAAGGCTTAGCTCATTAAGCGTTCAATCTTATCTACTCGGGTCGGTGTAGAACCATAAGGTGATGAAGGAGGTATCGAGTCGCAGCTGTGATAAATTGAAACTAACCGACACTTCTGAAGAGTACGCGACACATCTTCACACGATTCTCGAAATGCGGTACACCTTAAACTCGTGTTCATACAGCGTTACTCTCGTGATCAGGGTGGTGGTGTCGTAATGGTATACTACACATGCAGCGCGTATCGGCGGTACGAGGAAAGAGGGCATAGAAAACTCAGAGAACTGCATCGTCCAATCAAAGGGAGGAATCGACTAAGACTAGATGGTGGGAGAAACGTAGGGATTGGCAGACGACGACACATGTTTGTAGAAGGGATGTGTTCGTACTGCGTATAGCGCACAAGAAGGGAAGAGAGGGGAAAAGAGAAGCACGAAACAGCGTGCCCGGGTATCGTACGCATGGAGACGAAGCCGTTATAAGTTTTATTCGAAGGAAAAAAAAGAAAAAAAAAAGAAGAATGTATAATCGTAATTGTAAGAGAAAACTAGAAAGGATAAATGTTGCTGTAAATAGATTTCAGCACTCTTTAATCGTCATACATGTTAGTGTCATGTCGAGTTCGCGTTGCTTCAAGGTAACTGTCTCGTATTATCGAGCGTCTTTATCAAACCAAACGTAATATCTCGTTTCATAAACTTTGAGACTAAGCAGAAAGTATCAATATCATTTGGAATTAATCGGTTATAATAAGACCGATGGTATTTTTAACGTAACATGATGAAACATAAATGAAGTATGCATTAATTACCGCATGTGTATATTGCCAAAGTAATGGAAAAAACAGCTTTTCATTCATGAAGCCATTGTATGCCGAACAGAAGCGTTATGGGACGATGGCTCCTCCGAAACTCAATGCAATTTCTTCAAACTAGAATTTGTTCGTAACTGCCACTGATACATGTTCATGGCGATACCGGATAGTTTATAAGGAACAGCAAATGACAGTGACGTATAGACGCCCAGTGGTCACGAAATGACGATGCTGTCCGTTATCCCACAGTACCGATTACCTATCGACTTGTTACTAATCACGAGGTCTTTACAGATAACCCAACGTTCATAATCTATCGTATAGACTCATTTTCGCTCGATTCTCCCGGCCTTTTGGGTGAGCAACCATGAACAATCGTTATATAATTCTTCAGTAACACGCGTTAATTTAACTATGTTCGAGTTACTGGAGGCAGCTCCTGTTTGCCGACAAGAAATAGATTCACCTTCCGACAGAAAACATTCTAGAAGCTCTTAAATTATAAAAGAAATATGTAATATTAATTCGAACCGAGGATAAGTACGTAACTAACAATTGCATTCACCACTGCTTCTACTAAGTTCTACTAAATTACTCCCATATGGATCAAGGTAATAGTTATTCAGAAGTTCTACTACATACGTAACAGCTCAACGCATTACCGGTTTTTATAAAATATAGAAGTTGGTTTAATTTTTTCATTGTGAATGTATGTCACACAATGTACGCTTGAAACTCGCATAATTATTATGGTACATTTTACAGATGACATGAGGTATCAAATACAACAGTCATTCGTAATTCCCGCCGTTACCTTTCCGTCCAGATTTGTTTCAATCTATACGCGCTTGCGTCAGTGTCTACGAAGGCTAGATAATATTCATCTAATTTACTACGTGACTACGTAATCAGAGTACAATGACAATCTATCACTCGTTACAATGAAAATGAATTTCACGTTGTCAGATGTATGAAAATCTAGTAAAAATCGATAAACTCACACAACAACAACAACGTGGGAACGGACAATAGAATAGTTACAGTATTCTTATAACTCGACCAGTGAACAAATGAATGGCAATAGGTGCAATAATAATAATAAGGATGCTTCAATCTGTTTAGAAAGAGGTATACCGTTGTGGTTTCCACGTGACATATTATTGCCACTGCGCGACGACGCCACACCACGAACTTTCTACTATACGCATGGATGTGGCGGTACCGACATTTTCGTCAACGAGTTTCACCTCGCGATTCCCATAGTTAGAGGCAGTCGTGCAAACGCGTATTATCGACTAAAAATAAGTCGCCGCTATCAGAATACGCGGGACGGTGGTCCGATTTAAGATGAAAAATCGTGTCGATGTTTTCTCGAAGGTTCGTAACACCGCGCGGCACACTACGAAAGAATGGGGAGGCAGGAGAGACATGGGTATATAATACATGGCGTTGCCGCTGGCTGCGCGCGTGGGGTTCTCGATGAAGAGGGACAGAGTCAAACACCGGTAGACTCGAGGACTGGAGGAGGAGGGGGAGAAACAGAAAGAGAAGGAAAGCGAGGAAGGAAGCCTTCGGCGCGGTGTTTATGCACGCAGATCGGTAAACAATTTCAGAGCAACACGTCGCGACCTGAAAGAGATATGTGTTGGTCTATCGATCGTCCGTCAGACACGATTAACCCTCTTATAACGAATTATCGATCAATTACGACACATAAAGAGTAAGAGAGAAAGAGAGGAAGAGCGAGGGCGAGAAGGGAGAGGATAACGGGAGACAGAGAGAGAGAGAGAGAGAGAGAGAGAGAGAGAGAGAGAGAGAAGATGAAACGAACTAGAGTGAGAAAGCACAACGAACGCGGGCTTGGTTTCGGGCGCCATAATGGAAACCCACGACGGTGGTGGTGGCGGCAACGACGGCGGTCGGAAAAATGCGCGGGATGCTCGCTTTTCCTACCTATAATTCTGATCTTCTATATTAAAAATGGCGTCCATCTTGTAGACACGATTCATTGACAATTGTATATTGTAGTAGCAACTGGATTCATTCTATACACAACGTCGGTAAGAACGCTTCAAAGACGCATAATAACGGGAGCGTATGAATCGAGCACATGGCGCTAGTAGCCATAGATCCCGCCCGAATTTTACGCACACTTTATTAGCATGGTGCAAGCAAAACGTCGCCGATTCTGATATTAGCTGGTAACATGAAATCCAGATCGGTAATTATAGACGGCATTGTAACAACAGGGGTGATCAACCGAACGATCCATCGTGCTCGTGGCAGCCACGCGAAATACGATGGCGTCCCTTTCGACTACGAATCGGAAAAACATCATGCATTCCATACACACACACACATCGGAAAGTTTTCAAGGAATACCAGGGGGAAACAGTCGCGTTTCAGGTCACTGCGAAAGTATGGAACATAGTGAAAATGCCGGCCGGCATTCTATCCTATCTTTCGCGCCGTCACTCGGTCGAAACGACTACTCGACTGCCCGCCCACCAGTCTGTTCCCGGGAGTACGATGATATCGCGTACCAAATTTTAGTAATGTTTCTTTGGAATACTAAATGCGACCAAAATCTAGGCACAAAGTTTAAGAGCGGGAAAATGCGATAGTAAGGACGATCAAGACTAGTCGAATAACTGAAGCTTGTATTATAATCGCGATGATTCTGTGAAATTGTAGACGATGCCGTGATCAAGCAGCGTGGCGCGGAAGCATGGTTTAAGCCGGCGTGTACTTAGTATATGCTTTAATGTGTAGGTATTTGCTTACATACTAATCGCGTGAGTTGATAATGGAAGTAGTATTTCGAAGAATTGGGTGAAAAAGAGGTAAAAACAAGATGCAGTTACTCACCTCGGCCGGCCTTTTGATTCCTTTGATCTCGCACTTCGCGTCCCCGGAAGCCTTGTCGTTCTCGGTCACCTTCTCGACGGCGACCTCGTTGTTTTCTTTAGTACTCATGGTGGATACGTGAGTGTTGGGCAAGATGCCTGCGTGTCCGCTTACAGAACGGTGGAAAAAGATAGAGGCGGTGCGTGTGTAATACGTAACAAAACTCCGTGTCCTCGCGCGGCGTCGGTTTCCGGCGAAATGCCCGAGAGAGCAGCGTCGTCAGGCGAAAACCCAAGAGGCAGAGGGGGGAGAGAGAGAGAAAGAGAGAGGGGGAAGGAGGGTGAGACAGAGTCGAACCAGTCAGGAGTGGAGAGTATCGTGTACTGACGACTGTGGCGCGAATAGCGCAAAGCGAACTACTACCCGATCTTGGTTCGCTCCTAGCACATCCAACCTGGCTTTGTTCAAAAATGAAGATGGCGCGGGTTTGAAACTCGATAAATGTCTGATTGGTTAAAACCTTAATGTCATTTCGAGACGTGTCACTGCACCTAATTAGGAACGTTATAACGCCACGTAATGTTTTATTATTTCTCAAGTATGTTTTCTACGTAATCCGTCCACCTGACGTATAAATAAAATTAAATCCTGCGGAGGACGAGGGGTTCGAGAGTTCGTGGCATCTGTTCAACGTCTGGTTCGAGGCTAAGTCGCTCGATTCAAATAAGCTTCGGCGCTGCGTAACATTTATATTCTTTTTCAACGCCATCTTCGTGAACAATCCTTTAATATACCGTGCAAGATAAACACTTTGTAAAGAAAAATACTGTCATCTCATCAATGATAAGTCATTAACAGCTTATTTCGAAGCGATGCACTCGAGACATCGTGGCGGGAATTATCCTGTAGGTAAAAGAGTAAGGTTTAGTAAGGGTTTACTTCGAATAAAGCAGACGCACACCTGTCACCAAAAAATTTAACACTAATCGAACTATGTAGCAACTTTACGGCGTATAAAATATCTACGAAGCTTTCGATCGATGGATTCAAATTTACAAAACTTTCTAGAATGCTCAGTTTCTCAAATAAAATCTAAACAACGGAAAATATGCTAAGGGAATAATTGCGTAGCGTGTACTTCTTCCTTATGGAATATGTATGTATATACGTTTGTTCAATTTTATTATCATTTTAAGTATACATAAATTAGGTTATATATCTAAAACATAGAATTACTTGTAGACTACAAATAAAAAACAAAAGCAAAACAAATATTATAACATAATTACTATTATTGATTGGACGTCTTATATATTAAACCGATTTTGACGCCGGCTGTTAATGGCGTATATGCAATCGAAATTTTGTTTAAGAAATCAAAAAAATTATAGTCACTTTTCTGATAATTTTACGTATATTGAATTTTGACGAATGGTATTGAAATAAGTATAATATTAATATTTATACAACTAAGTGAAAAAAAAAATATTAAATTCCTAAATTCTGTACAACGTATGACAACAAGCGCATGCGCGTTATACGTATACATACCAATTTCCGGTGAAATACATTTCCTTTTCTTTCTAAACATCCAAGATGGTAGGTAGATCTTCGATTCAAACTATGCGTATTTTATCTGAAGTTATGGTTGTAATCCTTGAATGATATTATTTACGACTATTAAATTTTGAGTGTAATTATCATTGTCTGAAAAAGGAATTCAGTATTTTGTAATTCTGTTGAACAGTAGTGATAGTTACATCAGTGAGAACATAACCTTCATAAGTGACAGAAAACATGAAATTCTACTTTTAAAGTTTGAAATGTGAAATATATTTATTACAAATAAAGTGGATAAAAGCATCATAGAATTAATTAAAATGCACAAATTTAGTTCAATTTATTCGATAACAAATTTTATGTAATTGTATAATATATATGTTTTTATGTTTCCAGGTTAACGTTCCGAAGCAAAGGCGTACTTTTTGCAAAAAGTGTAAAGTACATAAACCTCATAAAGTGACGCAATATAAAAAAAGCAAAGAAAGGCATGCATCTCAAGGTAGAAGACGTTATGACCGTAAACAACAAGGTTTTGGTGGTCAGACCAAACCCATCTTCAGAAAGAAGGTATGTATTGTATCAAATTTTAATTAATCTGTTGATTTACCACTTTTTACAAGTAATACTACATGCTTTTTATAGGCAAAAACTACCAAAAAGATTGTCTTAAGAATGGAATGCACAGAATGCAAATACAGGAAACAGATTCCTTTGAAGAGGTGTAAGCACTTCGAACTTGGAGGTGACAAAAAGAGGAAGGTAAGCATTTTATATTGAGTATTTACCAATGGAAATAATGTGACAATCAAAATAATAATTATTACAATTTTTAATGTTTTTCAGGGACAAATGATTCAGTTCTAGGGTGAAGTTATATATATTAACTTGCTGTATGTATTTAATAAGAAATGAAATAAATCTTTTGGAATTTGTATAGTTGTTTATTTTATTTTTAATTATTTTATAATGCAAAAATATCTTTTGTATTCAATACCTGAATGCTACTAAACATTTAATCTCCTTCATTGTCACCATAATCCATAGACTTTGGCTTAGAAACTACTTGTTGGGTATCACTGTTAAGGTAAAAATACAAGCACTGTGTGAACATGTTGAATCAACTACAGGATGAAAAATGACTTAAACATCAGTCTAAGAATATTGATATATTGTTTAATAAGTTCCTATGTATGCAAAATAATTTCATTTGTCAATAAATTCAATTACACTACCATCTATATCTAAGGCAATGGTATTATTATTTTATATGGTTATAAACATTAATTTCGAACATTCATATTTTAAAACATGTTCATTAAAACTTACTCCAATACAGATGAGTCCAATCCTTCTTGTTCCATCTTTAATTTAAGTGCTTCCTGTGGTACACCAACGTGTATCAGTTTAAAATATTTTTCATACCGGGGATCTTTATTTATAGGTTGTTCTTCAGTCACTATAGTTTTGGGCTCATCTTGTGTAATATTATCAGGTTCATCATATCTTACGTGGTACATTTTCTTCCTGTGTAGTGTCATTATTTTCTACAGGATCTTGTGTGTCTTGGTGATCTTGTTCTGGATTAGGAACAGATGATAACTAAAAGGAATACACAGAATTACTTGTATTCTCAACAATTATAAGAATTTCAAATAACAACATGGTAGTTCCATTCACAAACTTTTACGTACCCAAGATTCTAAAATTTCTAAAGAAGCTTCTATTCTCTGCAACTTATTTTCAAACTCGAATAATCTTTCTTCGCATGATAATGCAAATTTATTGAGAAACGTTACAGTATGCACAATAAAATGGTTAATAAATGCAATAGTTCTTTTCTGGTTGATCGGTGGAACCTAAGATAGATGAAAAAAAAATCTAAGATGTGTAAACGATGTGTTCGTTAATGGTATATAAAGCGATAAGAAAAACTGTAGACTAATGCCTGCACCTTCGTGTAATCGATCGTTGGCTCGATTATCGGAATTTTATAATCATTCATTGTATTTTTCAAATGTTATGTCTTGGATTTATTGTCCAACTGTCAAACGTCATAAACTTCCGACGCATCGCTCACACAGTCATGTAAAACTCATGGTAACGTGGTGTATGCAAGACCGCAATTTCTCGACTATAGAAGGTACACGTATTCTCTTCTGGTACTCTGTGGATAACGTGCAAACGGCGGGGTGTTTAAAGTACTGTTAGAGTGTAATTCCTTTAAAAATTCACGACTTGCAAATTTCAAATGAAAAGTACATATATATACATATCCTGCCATAAAAATATACATAATAAAACATATCCTGTCCGAATTGAAATTTTTTTACACAGATTAATGCTGAAATCTTTGCAACCTAAAGAGTAAGTTTCGTATAAAATGTTTTGTTAAATCTTCTGAGGTAGAATCGCTTGCATGTGCTTGGAATGTGTTTATATTTTTTATCATGCTGTCTTGTTGTATTTCATTTTATAATATTCATAAATACATTAACAAATATAGATTGTACTGCTAGAAACATATAGACATTACTGCTAAGCCCTACGATGTTAAATGCATGTACTACAATTCAAGTACTGCATTACATTAAATATGGTTTAAATAAATGTTAATTTCGTATAAATTTTAGTAATTCCCATTTTAAGAAGTAGGAGCATAGTAGGAGGTCCTTCTCCTATGCCACTTCTTCCCCTAGCGAAAGTCGGGGAACCAAACAAATGTCATGTATGACGTCATAGCTACGTAATATGTATGCAAAACTATTTCATTGTTATTAAGATATCTGACCATTGAATATTATAAAACAGATCAGGAGAAATTTTTTGGTACCATGATCTGGTTGTAAAAAGACTATTTCCTATCTATTTTGCAGATAACAATTTTTTGCTTAATTTGCGAATATCTCATTAAATATAAACGGTACGATGGGAGTAGTTTCAGATTCGGAAAGAGCAAATCGGGAGCAATTTTTTGAGATATAAATCGTTAAGGTACGTTAACATTCGGCGCCAATTATTTTCCGGTGGCGCCAGAGACCCCGTGTGGTCAGATAGTGGGGTCATAGAACCCCCGGTGGAGACGTTTGAGACTCCGTGTGGTGAGAGAGTGGGGTCACAGAACCCCCGGTGGAGGCGCCAGAGACCCCGTGTGGTGAGAGCGTGGGGTCATAGAACCCCCGGGTGGAGGCGCCAGTGACCCGTGCGGTGAGAGAGTGGGGTCACAGAACCCCCGGCGGAGGCGCCAGAGACCCCGTGTGGTGAGAACGTGGGGTCATATAGCCCCCGGTGGAGACGCCAGCGTCCCCGTGTGACGGGAGAATGGGGTCATAGAGCCCCCAGTGGAGGCGCCAGAGGCCCGTGTGGTGAGAGAGTGGGGTCATAGAACCCCCGGTGGAGGCGCCAGAGACCCCGTTTGTGTGAGATGTATCCTCACGAGCAAAGTTATTGAGATATTTGACTATTGATTATTATAAAACAGATCAGGAGCAATTTTTTGGTACCATAATACTTGTGTAAAAAGGTCATTTACTACCTATTTTGTTATAAATTGTTACTTTTTCTTTTGCGAGTATCTCATTAACTATTAACGGTGCTGGGGGAGCAATTTCAGATTCGGAAGGAGCAAATTGGAAGCAATTTTTTGAGATATAAATCATTAAGATACGTTAACATTCAGCGCCAACTATTTTCCGGTCACCGAGGAACACAAATTGTTTGCTTTAAGTCGATAAAACAGAATATGCGCTGACAGCGTGAACGAATACTTTTTAGTGGTGTACAAGTTGGTCTTATAGGCTGGATGTGGATCTAATAAACGTGACTGTCTGTTGTCAGTGAGAATCAACTGTATGGAGATAAAAGGGAGAACGATTATTTTCTGAAGCATGGAGTTACCACCTGACCTGGAAACTGTCTACCAGGCCGTGTATTCTTTGTATAATAATTCGAATCCTTCGGGACCAGGAAAAACATCTCAATGGTTGGACGAATTACAAAAATCGGTGAGTTTCGTTAGCGGTTTCTCAGGGACTTCTGTTACATATTTCCTGATCTTACGTATTTTGAAATCACTGCGTCTCGGACTTGTCTTGATCGCATAATCATTATCAAATACGTATTGAAACAATTGCATAAAACAGCATTTATCAAATAAATGCAGATGATAGCTTCTCGTTATAATTCCTAACCTTACATTATATACTGTTATTCTTGTGTTAGAATTTTTCAACTGTATCACACCCAATTTAGGTGTAAAGACAGAAACAAAAACCATTTATGTATCATTTTAGGTTTTCGCATGGAAAATAGCAAACGAGATGTTGCAGCAAAAACGAGATGTTCAGTCTTGTTATTTTGCTGCACAAACAATGCGCACTAAGATACAGCTATGTTTTCAAGAGTTACCCACAGAAGCTCATGTTTCTTTAAGAGATTCTTTAATGAATCACATATCACAAACTAATGAAAATACCAATTCTGCTATTGTTACACAGGTTTTTATACTATATAGTAATTTTTTTATAATCTAGCACACGTGTTTTATTTGTTTTATAATTATAGTTATAATTACAGTTATGTTTAGCACTGGCAGATCTTGCGCTGCAAATGTCTTCATGGGAAAAACCAGTTGTAGACTTAATTAATAAATTTGGTGGATCTACTAGTAGTTTATGGCCATTATTGGAAGTTATGACAGTATTACCAGAAGAAATAAATTCACGATCTCTTAGGTACAATCAATTTTAAACTAACAATACAATGTACTAGTAGAAAACCTTGAATGTATGAAATCAATATCTAATTCAAATTCATCTGTATAGACTAGGAGCCAATCGCAGATATCACATATTACTTGAGCTCAGTGCAAGTGCAGACACAGTAACAGAATTTTTGGTGAGTAACCTGAAATACTTAGAATGAATTTATAATGTTATAAACCACTTCATGCTTAATTTTTAGAAAATGTGTCTAAAAAATGGCGGAGAAAATGTACAAATTCATGTTACAATTCTTAGATGTTTTACAAGTTGGATCGCAGTACATGCTATACCTCTTGTACCTACAAGTGATGTCATTGTATATACTCTTCAAGTAAGTGTTTCGAGTAATTGTGAATCATGTGAATTTGGAAACATAACGAATTACTTGGCCCTCAGATTCTTGGAAACCACATGACTGGATCTCAGTTACATGAAGCAGCTGCAGATTGCATATGTGTAATTCTACAGGTTTTAGAAGAATATAGTAATCGCAATGGTGATAATAGTAGTGAATCAAATATACAGTTACAACAGCTGCAGTTATGGCTTTTTACTAGTGTAATAGCTTTGGAACAACCTTACCATTTGTCTGTTGCACATGAAGACATGGACAAGTAAACTTACCTTATTTCCTTTATTTAATCAGAGATACAATGTTTCGAAGTCATTTCAAATATACATGTAGCTAATATGAACATTTTCTTTAGATCGATAAATTATTGTCGGATATTTACGGAATTAGCCGAAACATTTTTGGAAACCATTATAAATGGTTGCGTTGGAGGAAAACAACATTATGCAATTAAAATCTTAGATCTCGTCTTAGTATGCGTTGGACATCACGATTATGAGGTACTTATACATTTTTACATAATATATTCTACTACCAATTATTACAAAAAATTTGTTTATATCAGGTGGCGCAAATAACTTTTAATCTGTGGTATCGTTTATCTGAAATTCTTTATCAAAGAAACAGCGATGACCTTAATGCCGTATTTCGACCTCATATTGAAAGATTAATTGGAGCCCTCTGTAGGCACTGTCAAATGGAACCAGACCATGTTAGTAATAAATTTGGAAGTAAATCAATCTCTTTTCAAATCGCACATAAATGCATGAATTTCCTTCGACAGTTGGGCCTAGTAGAGGAGGGTGCTGGCGGAGAAGAATTTGCAGATTTTCGAAATCGTGTCTCGGAGTTAATCAAGGATGTTGTGTTCGTAGTTGGAAGTAGTCACTGCTTTCGCCAAATGTTTTCTTCCTTAACGGGTGGTCCAGGCCCACAAGGACAATCTAATCATGTATCCACGTGGGATTCGACTGAAGCAGCACTGTTTGTGATGCAAGCTGTTGCAAAAAATATTTTACCGTTAGTGTTGTCGATACTCCTATACATAATACGCAGTGTATTCCCCTTGAATGAAGATTTATTTAAAACGGTTTATTTGCAGAAAAGAAAATGAAGTAGTTCCAAAAGTAGTAGAAGCTATCTTAAATTTACCCGAGAATACACACATAGCTGTACGCCATACAAGTATTCTTTTATTAGGAGAACTTTGTGAATGGATAGATAGTCATCCACAGTCTTTAGGTAAAATTTTATGCGATTTTCCAATTTACATTTCACCATGTTCCTTGTACTCATCTTTCACTTGAACTATTATTCTAGAACCCGTTTTAAATTTTCTCCTGACTTGCTTAAGTCAGAAAGGTTTAGGGAGTGCGGCCTGTGCTGCATTATTAAGTATATGTACAGCTTGTCCTGTGCACATGGCTTCGCATTTCCCAGGATTGTTGCAAATTGCGCGTTCTATTGACAGTTTCGCTATCAGCAATGATGCAGCTATTGGTTTACTTAAGGGTAAGATAACGCGATTCTTATTTTCGTAAGAAGAAATTATTGAAGAGCATTGTGTGATATTTGTCATTTTGTAATAGGAGTAGCAATAATCATGTCTAGCTTACCGCGCGATGAAATTACCCAAGCAATGAAGGAATTATGTTGGTTTCAAGCTAGGCCTTTATGTGAAATTATGGAACGTAGAATTCCAATCGAAACAGGAACAAAAACTGATCCTGTGATATGGCTAGATAGATTAGCTGCTATATTTAGACATACTGACCCTCGAATTGAGGACCCTAATGAACCTCATCCTTGTCAGAACGCCGTTACTGAAGTAGGTTTCGAGATTAGTTATACGAATTAAATGTTATATTAATAAGGGTTTAATACTTTTCATGTTCCCACTTTTATCGATAACAGATGTGGCCGGTATTGTCAAATGTATGCACAACATATCAGCATGATGCAAAATTGATGGAAAGATGCTGTCGTTGCTTGAGATTCGCTGTCCGTTGCGTAGGAAAACATTCCGCCCATCTACTTGAGCCACTTGTAAAACAGGTGGGTATTATTTAAAAATTACAGTTCACGGACCGTTATTCACTGTCTTGTAAATTTCCAGATTGTGCAATTATATGCAGCACATCAACACAGCTGTTTTTTATACCTTGGTTCAATATTAGTAGACGAATATGCCATCGATTCAGAATGTGTTCCTGGTTTGTTAGCAATGGTGGAAGCATTTATTGGGCCTACCTTTAATCTTCTCCAACAACAGGATGGATTGAAAAATCATCCAGATACAGTGGATGATCTTTTTAGATTATGCGCCAGGTATGTGTGCATTATATTTACAATAGAATTTCGTGTATCCGAATTGTTCAAGATTTAAAAGGTGGTTTAGATAGCTTAAATAAAAGTTCACTTCATCAGATATTCATATAAATGGTGTTTTACTATATTTCCATGTTATTGTTCTTTACAACAGGTTTCTACAAAGAGCACCTATACCTTTCTTACACTCGGCTATAATAGGAAGTATAATTGACTGTGCCTTAATGGCCTGTAGCCTAGACCATAGAGATGCAAATGTTTCAGTGATGAAATTCTTTCACGAGCTCCTACATTGCGGTCGTAATCACGAGGTAATGCAAGAAATAATATCGTATTACAATCTTGATTATCATAGGAATATTGATTTTTTGCCTTTCTCATTAAGAACCGAACGGATTTTACAATACGACAAGAATTGGTACAACGTATATTAAGAGAGAAAGGACAAACTTTAGTCATGAGACTACTCCATGCATCCGTGTTCTCACTTTCATCTTACATGTTGTCTGACGTGGCCGACGTTCTAGTTGAACTATCCTTATCGAATAGAGAAGTGAGTCATTCACGATGCATTATTAATTAAATTAAAAGATGTACAGCAATTCTTCTGTAATTAAAATAATATTTGTTGTTTAGTTGATGTCCAAGTGGTTAGAAGAAGCCATCAAAACGTTGCCATCGCAAAATGCAGGTGGTTCTCCTACAGCTCAACCTGAACAGTTATTTGAGTTTCATAACACGGTTACAAGGTACATAGTGAAATGTTACTTTTTATGTTATTTCGTATGAAACTCTGACTTTATGCAAGTTTGTTTTAATATATAGGGAAGACACAGCGAAACCCGTGAATCTGGCCTTACGAAAATTTGCACGTTTATATCGTTGATGTACTTCAGCGTAAAACAAAGATGCCAGGAATATCCAAATTAAAAACAGCGACAATTTTCCAAAACCCTTCATTCACTTAATACATTTGAAGGTATTGAAAACACAAGATTGTTGTAAAATGGTGAGTCTGTGCTGTATAAATGTATCAACAAAAGTTTTAAATACTTTGTACTTGTTTACTATCTACACATTCCTTTGCAAAGTATGTAAGAACAATGAACATATTTTTTTTTTCCTTCTTGTAAAATGTATTTTTTACTTGTACAATGGAACCAATGTATTTAGAACAATTTTTTTTTATTGTGAACACTTTTTTTTGCTCCATATAACAGAATTTCTTTATACGCTGCATATCATTCAGTTATTTGTATTAGTTTTCTGTACAGCTTTGTTGCATTTGTTTCATATATTCGTTGAACATACAATACCTATGAAAAGTGATATCTGGATTACCTATTACATTAGGTATGTATCTAGTCAACTGTTTGAGAATAGTTAATATGCATACTTTGTAGATAACGTGCAGGTAGTAAACATTGGGAAATCAGAATGAGTATATATGTTTATGCTTTTCCATCTTATTGACAAGGATAATTTCACAACAGAATATTATTAAATCACTTTGAAAATTATTACGTACGTGCTATTCGATTTGTTACGCATTAAAACGTATTAAGTTATGTAACATTATTTTACGATTAAGCTTTTATGACTGCAACTGTCCTTTTGTAAGGTATCACTTTTAGTCATCACATTTTTTTTTATCATATACAACTTATAACACAGAGAACGAAAAAAAGATTTGAGAAAAGAATTTTTAATAAGCGTCTAGCCGATAAATTTTACGATTACATGAATTAGAATGAATACAACATAATACGACTCAGTTGCGTATATACATATATACATATATATGTGTGTGTTAAACACCAGATGAGCGATTTACATGAATTTTGCCTGATAAAATGTAGAGTTTGCTCACATTTGTGTACCTTTTATATGTCTCGAAAATATAATTTTACAAACATTTAAATCCTATTTAAGATTTAGAGGATGTAATATGTCGCAACGACACTGTGAGACAGACAACGTACACGAAAACGAATTCCTTAATAAACGCAAATGTTGTTAACATTTAAGTTCATTTATGCTCTGTTGTCAGAATGTACTGCATGTTAGAAAAAAAAAGTGAGCGTATGATGAAGAATCTGATATTGATATGAGAAGACAAATTCTCATGTACATTCTATGAAACGCAAAATAAAAGAAAACTAAGACACTCATTTTACACGACGGCGAACTTTGATGTACAAATAGTATACATATACGAGCATGTAAGTTTTTGCAAAGCGTTTAATGTACAGATAAGGTATTACTGAGAATAAGGTTCAATATCGGTAAGAGTATCATTTGTAATGTAAGGTTCAGAATAATTAAACTGTACGAATATTTTGACGACTAGCATTAATTTTAGTATTTACGCTAATGTTTCGCTTTATAACTACAAATTTACGTATTTCAAATAAAACGATATTTTTTACTTAAAAAAAAAAAAAAAAAAAAAAAAAAAAAGAAAATGAGTGGAATGCTTAATCGCAAATAAAATGACAATAAATGGGTTATTAGTCACGTGTAATGGAAAATGTGGAATATAAGGTATCGTTATTCGTTGGAGCGAGAAACAAGATACGGGTTACGTTGAAAACAATCTATGTATTCACGAGACAACGTGCAGCACTTAGCAACCAATGGCAGAAAAGAATGCAACCCGAAGCACAACAGCATTCCGCAAGCGAACTGATTCACGGACATTTCGGTCAGCGACTGTTGACGATATTCAAGCAACTTCGATGCAGCTGATCGTGTACGTAATTCTTAATTTAATACCAATATCGTCGAAGCTTGAATACTCGACTTAATGTTTTCGTTTCCAGTAATTTTATTTCTCTGTAATAACCCGAGTAACTCTTTAGGAACACTTTGCAGGTAAGAAACTTGCGAAGGGAAGGCCTAACGGTCGTTTTATGACGGCATTGATTGTTCCGTGTGATAAAGGGCGCCTCTTACAGGAAGTCCAGTACCTACGAAAAAAAGAGATCGTCACGAACAGCTGTACGATAAATCGTTAAGTGACTCAACCGTACGGAACGTTCAGATACAAGGTGAATCCGGAAATATTTGGGTCGTTGGGAAGATAGCAGGTGCCAGATTTCCAACTTTTAATCGTTTTTCCTTGCTCCGTGAGCATGATATTATTCCGAATAAATTGCAATACATTTTAATAACATTAAATTTCAACGAGCTGGAAGATGGTGCTTTTCGTCAAAACTTTCTCTCTGAAAAAATGATAACGAAATGATTTATTATTGTTATTATCGTCTGTATTACTCAACATTGACAGATGCATTTGAAACAGGAAATCTCGATAGAAGATTTTCATATTCTCTTTTACTGTAAATATCTGGGTGTCGTGAAGCACCGGGGAACAGGTATCCGATAGTTCTAGCGGTATGCTCATGATTCAGGTTCGGATGCCACGTCTTCTCGAGACATTGCTAACAATCTCCAGAGTCTGAGTCACTGAACAGTTGCGTTATGACTCACGCGTAGTCGAACCTTATTGGCCAAGGAATTGGTTTCTAACAAAGGAATGTTGTAACGCGTAGCCGAGTAAACGAAACCCGGTTGATACATATTCTCCTTCTGTGTGCGATTTTGGAGTACACTGTGACCTTTTATATACTGATGTATAAAATTTCCGAACCGAGAAATCGATACCTTTTTTTTTATAAGCTGGAAATACACTGGAAGCATTTCGCGCGACACGCTTCGTAACATCGCAGAAATGTTATTGGTGACGTGTTGTTTCTACTATTTTTTATATACAACGGTCACTGCCACTGTCGTACATCGTCTGTCAATAGAAAGATTTCCCATTGGCCGACTATTGACGAATTCTTAATCAATATCGCAATGATTTACAATCTCTAAGATCGATGAATCTTTCAAGAATTTTCAAAACGATTTCTCACGCGAGATTTAAGCGAAAAGGAAGATGCAATGACGTGAAAGCATCGGGTGCAGTCGGCTTCGTTGGGTCCGACATCTTTCTAACTGTACAACGTTTACTTGTAATTAAGGTTCTCAGAATTTCTTGCATTCACAGCGTGTCCGTTTTCTTTTCTTTTTCCGGTCAATGGTAAAATTTCGTAGAATAGATTCGACGACATCTTAAGCCAGCCCCCGAGGCTGGCAAAACCATAAACCGTTAAGCCGCTTTGTCTTTTCGTCACCGTTTTCCCCAGGAATAATACTTCATCGTTTATAGAAAGCGTCTCTCTAGGCACAGATATATCCCGATCTGTCCTTCAGTATGAAATGTGAACGGTTCGAATTATGGAACAGATATTGGAGAATACAGAGAAGCTGGTCTGTATTCTGGGAAATGAAGTCATCTAAATTTAACCTCCTGGATTTATATGCGCTACTGACGCGGCTCAAAATTGTCCGGGCTACATATGACTTTAACCTTTGACACCCACACTGACTCCAGTATTCCACGCCATCGTTTAATTTCCGAGCTAATTGTTCCTTTGACAAAACATCTATCCTGTTTTATATTTCGGAGTATATAGATACATAATGCTGATGATAACGATCTCAAACTGAATTTAGTAAACATGTATATTATTCGTTATCATTGAGTCAACGTAAAATACTCTTTTGCTGGTATTAAAATTTAAGGTTCAGAATAAATGTAACACTTGCCATAAGAATAGAATTCCTTTTGTATCTGGGAAAATATTAACGATAAAGTAATTCTTCAGAGTGAAATCGTAAAAGAAATTGTATGGCAAGGGGTTAAACAAACGTTTTCCATTAGTTAGATGACCAAACTGTGCCATGATATTCCCGAGTTGAAAGGTATATTTACGGTGGTATACATCAACCCCTATAATTAACTCGATCGAATTCGTTACACGAAAGGGTATCAAGGGTCCCGTTAATTATCGTTCAAAAACGAAAAGTAGCCCATCGATAAAACGCGTAATTATTCACCTCCTTTTAAAATAGCGCCCGCATTTCACCCTATCTGCCCCTCGAACGACGTTCCCCCCCCCCCCCCTTCCGATTCTTACAACGATGGTGTTCACGGGTACGGTAAAACGTATTTGCTCGTGCAGGTTGCAGCCCGTAACTATCGCTGAATTCACCCTCTCTCATCGACGACGGCGACGGGCAGCGGCGCGTTGCTGGGCAACCAGACAGTCAGACTGCTGTCTGCCGATGTGCCAGGGGCGCGGAAGGCCGCGAAGAGACGAGACGAGACGCGACCAGACAGACGAGGCCAGAACCGTAGATGAGCGTAAAGGAAAGAAGAATCGAACGTACAGAGAGGAGAGGATAGGAGAGAAGAGAGCGAGAAAGGGTCATGAAAGGGGTGGGGACCCGGGTGTAAGGCAGGTGTAGAGGGAGTAAGGTCGTCGTTGGAGGGGTAACGCGACCATTTGACCGTAGGGACGAGAACGAAAGCTTAAAAAGAGGGACAAGGGTCGCCGATGGGTTGGAGTAAAGAAGTTGCGAATGGAGGTGTGCGCACGGTAGTGTGTGGTGTTCTCGGCGTGGTCGTTTCAGTGGGGGATCAGTGGCACGATGGTGCATCACAGGGACGAAGGAAAAAGGGTGGGGGGGGCGTGGAGGCGTCAGGGGCGGCCGAGCTAGACGAGTCGAGGTCAGTTATCCGCCACGCCCGACGCCGGTACTGTCGTTCCGGCGCACCGCATTGCATTTTCGGCGCCACTGCTGCCGCGCTGCGTATCACTGCATTGCCAATGTTCTCCTTTTTTTCTTTTCCCTTCCCCTTGCTCTTTTCCCTATCCTCATCGTGTTTCTCTCTTCTTTATCCATCGCTTCATTCTTCGTGTCTCCTTTCCATTTTATCTTTTTCAGCTCACTCTCTTTCTCTACTCTGCGAACGCTGTTGCAGGCAGGTTTGTGCTGTCTACTTGTTCATCGCTGGCGTCTAAACTACGGGCCCTCGTAGGC